AAAATACCAGATCCTTTTAATTATTAAATTTATTAAATATAATAACGTATAAAGTAATAAGGAAGAAAGAATTCACTTAGTTAAACATATTATTATAATCATAATCATTATAATTGTTTATTTCTTAGTATCAATTAAGATAATTAAATACTTATTAAAAAAAATTAATAGCTATATAAAATTACTAAAAATGTTTTTTAAGTCGACGATACAGATAATAATATGAATATTTTAAAAATTAATATTTATAAAGCTTTCATTAGTAAAATAGTTCTTTTTTAATTAAATTAAATTTTAGGATTTTTCAATCATAACATTTTAGAAAACCCTGAAAATAAGCAAAATAATACTGAATTATAAGTAAAAATTTAATATATTAAATTGGCAATCAAAGGTATAGAAAAACTTTCTAAAGCAATTTATGTTTAAAGATTTTGAAATAATTGATATAATTTTTTGAAATAATTTTATAGAAATAAAATAATTATTTTAAAATATTAAAATATAATAATTTTTATTTAAACAAAATATATTTATTTAAATTTAAATAAATCACTTTTTAAAAAATAATTTATAATATTATATTTAGAAATTAAAAAATAAATGAACAATTAATTTTTTTAATTTAAATTATTTATTTGTAAGGCTTCATTTTTTTTTATACTAGTTTAAATTAATTTTTATTTAAGTTGGCTCATATTCTTCTTCTTCTTCTTAAGAGCTTTCTCTAATTTCTCTAATTTCATTATTTTCTTAAAAATTCAAATCTTCAAATGCGTTTAAATCAAATTCCTACTAAAGATCATTATCTTATTATTAATTTTAAATTTTTTAGTATTCATCATCACTTTCTGTTTAAACCATTATAGGATTAGTATTTTTTTTTTCTGGTTTAATATCAAACTCATTGCTATTTTATCCAGCTTCATTTTAATTATTCTCATTAAAAAAAAAACATTTAAATTATTAACTATTTTCGCTTAATACAGAAGATTTATTGGATTCATTTTACTAAATGCCTTTATCATTTTTAACACTTGTTACTGTTTGGAACATTTCTAATGGATTTAAATTTAAGGATTCGTTTAAAATAGCTTAATTTTTAGTTTAAATTAAATTATTTTTTATTTAATTAGCATTAGAAGTTGTTTTAATAATTTTATTACTCTAGACATTAATTAATATATTATTCAAATTATTACTTAAATTATTACTCTAATTATAAATTTAATTATTTTCAATTTAATTAAAAATATTTTAATTACTTTAATATTACATAATATTACTATTTTAATTATAGATATTGTTATTTAAAAAATTATTATTATTAATATTATTATTATTATTATTATTATTATTATTATTATTATTATTATTATTATTAGAAAAATTAATCATATTTTATGATTATTATTACTATATTTCTTTATAATCAATTTAGCTTAAAGTCTTTATTCTATTCATAATTTTTCCTTTTAAATTATTTATATCTTATTAAACACTTTGTATCATATTTTATTCTTCTTCTATTGATTAATTTACTATTTTTTCTTATTATTTATTTTTTTAAAATTTCGAAACATTAATACATACAGGAATCTAATCATAACTTTTAGTTTAGGATGTTGAGCTTTTTTGTTAATTTTATTTTATTTAAATTGGATTTTCTTTAATTATTTCTTTACTTTTTATAATTTTGAAATCTTCATCAGTTTATACACTTGATTATTCAGTCTGTGTTTGATTTTTTTCTGATTATTCTATATCCTCAAACATATCTAATTATATGGCATTATTTTCTTATTTATTTTTTTATTATTTATTTTACTCATTTTATTATATATTAATATTACTATTATTAACAATAATTTCTTTTTTATTTTCAAGTTATTTCTTTTTAAAATGTTCTGACTAATATTATTTTCCATTAATATATTATTTTGTATAGATATCTACTTTTTTCAATTCTTCTTCTTCTTCTTCTTTTTTAGACGTCCTTTTTTTACTATTTTATGTATAACTTTCTTTTAAATATAAAACTTCTTTTTCAGGCTAATTTTTTCTATTATTTAAAGGAGTTTTTTCCTTTTTTTTTTGTATTTTCTTATCTAATAGTTTGCATTCGATTTCCGCTTTTTTAATTTATTCATCTTATAATTTTAATAATTCGGAATTATGCTATTCTTTTTTATTTTCTTCATTTTTTATTTTTTCAATTGAAAGATTTGCTTTAATTTAACTTAATAATTTTTGATTTTTTATGATTTCATTTCCATCGTTTCCATATTAAAACGTTGGAATTATGTATTTTTCCTATTCATCCTATTATTATTTTTCTTGTTCTTTCATAAAAATCTTCTTTTTAAATTGTTCTATATGTTTATCTTATATTTATTATTCAACAAATTTATTCAATATTTCTTATTTCTCAAATTCATGTACGTTCCTTCCTTATTAAATTGAATAAAATGGATAAATTTATTATTAATTGTTATTTTATACAACATTTTCTTATTCATAAAAAGTACTATTCTTTTAAGTTTTATTTATATTAATTACATTTTATACATAACTTTATTAAGAAATTTAACTTTATTATTAACTTTCTTAATATATATTCTATTATTTATTTTATTAATTATCTAATTATATATATTATTAATCTTAAACATTAGTATTTTAATTATTTAATTAAAGTTAATTTCCTTAACTTTAATTCTAACTAAAATCTTATTAATATTCTTAATTTAATTAATTATATTTAAAATTATTATTAATATTATATTTATTATCATTATTATTAACTATTTTATTGTTATATTTTGTTTAAAATTAATCTTTATTTATTTCTGTTATTTAAATCTAATATTTTGTATTTTTTTCATCTTCATTTACATATTATTTATTCTCATTATATATTCTATTTTCTTTATATTTTCTTTCATTATCTATTTATTTGTTACTATTAATAGAAGAAATACTTTCATTTGTATAATATTTTTAATTTTAACTGAAATCAAAAATCTTAAATTAACTTTAATATTAAGATTCAACTTTATTATTTTTATTTCTTTTATTTATTTTAATTTATTCAATTTTTCCTCTATTTTAATTAATAATATTTTCTTCGAAAATATTCATTTACATAATATAATTAAGGAAATCAATTTTATTTTCTTCTTAAAAAATCTATTAATTAAAACTCATAATAGTACTTTAAATTAAACATTCACTATGATCCTTAAGTAAGTTTTCAAAAAACTTTAAATCTGCAACAAACTAAAAAGCTTAACTTAATTCATTTATTTTTTCTGAAAAAATTAAATTGTTATTATTATTTTTTTATTGTATCAAAAATGATTTTTTTTATGTTTTAAATTTTTTATCACTATATTTTTATTTTTAAAATGTACTATTTTCAGTTATTAATATATTTCTCTCTTATTTTAATTCATTTTTTTGCCCTAAATAACTATTTTAATTTATTAAAGTTGTGTTTTATCTTAATAAACTTCTTGTGTAATTTTCATTATTTTATGGATTTTTAATTATTAAAGGACTTTTATTTTCTTACTAATATAATTTTTGACCTAAATAATATTAATAAACAGTTATTTTAGATGGGGTAGAACTTTTATATCTCTTTTTATATCCAATTTAATTATTTCCCATAAATTTTTATAATATATCAATATAGTTTTAATTTTCTATATAAAATTTATGTAATATTTTTTTTAAAAAAAAAACAATTATTATATTATTTTTTTATAAAATTTTATTATTTAGTTTTTTTATCTTTTTTATATATATTTTTAAAACTAAATTTTTGTTATTTTTTAAATAATATTAGTTATAAATATAATTATTCAATTATACTAATAAATCTTTAATTAAAAATAATATTTTTTATTTTTTATTTTAAATTGTTTAAATTTAATATAAAATAAATAAATATTTTTTAAAAAAATTATAATCTTTATTTATATAAAAAAAATATTTTTTTTATTTTTTATTTTTTCAACTTTTCTTATTGATTTTTTTCTCATCCGAAATAGTTAATGAAGGAAAATTTTCTTCAATGTCTAAAAGCTATTAATCTTATTAAAATTATTACTAATTTTGATTGAAATTACTTTAATCTTGATTTTTAAAATTCTATTATTAATTATTATTATTTTATTTTTTAAGTTTTTTTCTTATATTTTTCTATTTAAATTAACTATTATTATCTTTCTTATAAATAGTTCTAATTTTCTTTTTACAAATTTTCTATTTTATTCTTAATTAAATTATTAGATGCAATAATGCTCATTTTTTTTTAAATATCACTTTCTTAATTAGGATCAATGAATTAGTCTTAAAGATCTTAAAGCTATTATTCAATTTAATAAATTTTTTAATCTATTTATTTCAAATCTAATTCATTATTATAATGTTTTTTTACTAAAATATTAAAGTTTTATTTTGCTTATTAATTGCTCATCATTTATATATTATTAGGTTACATTTAAATATTATTAGGCTACATTTAAGCTTGAGAAACATTAGGTGCAAAGTTTAACAAATTAGGTTAAAAAAATTGCATTTAATAATCTGGTAAAGGTTAGTTTATTTAAGTAGGATATTAAAGTAAATAATTATACGGTTATTAACTTTAATTTATTTAAACTTACTATTATATATATTAATATTACTATTATAAATATAATTATTAATTTTAGTTTTATTATTAATTCTATTATTACTATTTTAAAAATAATAATTTTTATTACTATTACAATTATTAATATTATTATTACTATATTTATTTATTTTTTAATTTATTTATGAAATTTTTTCTCGAATATTCATCAGATTCTTGCTCTTCTTTTTGTTTAACTTCGTCTGTATTTGAAGTTTCATTTTCATCTTTTTTACTGCTTTTTTTGCTATTTTGAATAATTTTAATTTACTAATTATTTTAATTGTTTTAGTTATTTTTCTTTTTTTAAATAAGTAATTCATTTTTTTATTATCGTATTATTTTCTTTTTTCTTCTTATTATAATTCTTATTCATTATTATTTTCATTTGATTATATATCTTATTGCCCATTATTATCTATTTTTTATTAAGATTATTATTATTACTGATATTATTCATCATTTTACTCTGGTTATTTTTAGTTATTTTAGTTTTGCTTATTTAATATTTTTATTATTTATTAGGCTTGTTTATGTTTTTTATTATTATTTTATTCATCATTTTGATTATTTTCTTATAATTAAATAAACAAATCTTCCACTTTTATTTTAGGTCTATATTTTAATTTAATTAATTATTTTTTGTTTTTAATTTTTATTTAAATATAAAAAAATATAAATATATATTTACATAGCTGTAATTTCTGTTTTTTATATTTAAATGTTTCCTTTTCCATTTTCTAATTTTTGCACATTCTTTTAATTTTTTATATTTTATATATAATTTATGAAATATATTTATTTAATTTATGAAATATATTTATATTTTACTGGTCTTATTAAACCATATCTTTCACAAATTTTATGAAATATTTTTCTTTCAAATGTGTCTAACTCATAAAATACTCTTTAATTTCTTATTAAAATAATATGAAATTTATAAATAAAGTAAAATATATTAATATATATAAATTTATTTGAGATTATATATATTTTTTCTTTATTTATATTTAATTAAATTTATTATTTTTTTTATATATTTTTCTTTTAATTTATTTACTCTTCTGTTTTTATAAATTCCTCTATTTATTATTCCAAAACTTTAATAAACTCTAATTTTCCTTTTTCACAAGCTTATTAAAGTGTATCATCTAAACTATTTTCATCTACAATAATTGGATTTTATGGATTATTAACTTTTTATTATTATTATTATTTTTATTTGTAATTATGGTTTTATTATTAATTGTTTTAATTCGTATATTATAGATTTTAATAAAGATTATTATTTGTATTATAACCTACAGTTGGATTTATTTATTAAATATTTTAATTTATATTAATACTATTTTGAATAAAACCACCATAAGGAAATTAAACCTAAGGAATAAATCCATTATTATTCATATACTATAAATTCGGAATGATTATTGGTTATTGATGTTAATAAAAAGGAATATTATACTATTGATATTAGTCGCTACTCATTTTTTTTTTTATCAATATAATTTATATATACAACTTTTTATTATTTCAAATTTTTTATTATCAATTTTATATTTAAATTTTTTTTAATAATAATATATTATGTTAAAAGTAAAATTAATAATAAAAATAATATATATATATATTAATTCAAAACAAATATTATATTTATTTTATATTATTTTTTGTATCTTATTAAAAATAAATATAATTAAAAATTTCAACCTTTTTTTAAAAAATTTAATATTTTAATATTTGAATATTATATTTTAATTTTAATTTTTGTTTTTAATATTTAAATAAATTAATATCATTATTTTTTTATATTTTATCTCAAAGTTATAATAATATAAATGAGAGATTTTTCTAATCTAAAAATTTATATATAATTTTTTATAAACAATAATTAAAAATTTTTAAAAAATTGAAATAAAGTAGTGAAAAATATATTTTATATATTTTCATTAATTAAATTAACTTTTTGATTACTTTTAAAAATTAAATTATAAAAGAATTTTTAATATATAAAATATCTTTATAAAAAAATATAGTATTAAATAAATATTACTTTATTATATAATTTTTTTATTTTTCTGTAATTTTTAAAAAACTCAGTTGTTAAAAAAAATGGATATTGCTTTTTTTTTTTTTTTTGATTGAGTTTTTAAAAAAATTTAAGAAAAAATAAAAAAACATATAAAAAGAGCTATATATTAATTATAATATTTTTATTATATAAACAATTTTTTTTTATTTATATATTTTTATTTTTAAATGTTTTTTTATTTAAAAAAAGAAACATAGTTTAAAATTATATATAAATTTTAATTAATTTAATATTATAAAAAATAAAAATATATTAAATTTAATTTTTAAATAAAATAAATTAAAGAATAAACAAATATATTGTATATTATATTATTTATTCAATTAATTAAGTATATATATATAGTTAATTAAATAACTTATATTTATAAGTAATTTGAATTTTTATTTAAAAATTTAATAAATAGTTTCAGTTTATTAATAAATGACACTAAAAAAATAACAATCAAAATTTAGTTCTTAAATTTATTTCATAAATAAAAATTCAGTTTATAAAAATTTTAATCAAATAGTATTATGTTAAAAATAAATTATAATTATCTATCTTTTTACATATAATAAATAATATAAAAATAAATAAATTTATCAATATTATGCTAAAAAAAAATTCAACTTTATATAAAATTATATCTAAATCTCCAGGATTTAATTCTATCATAATTTTAACAAACATAAATAAAATTTCTTAAAGCTCTTAAATGGGATGGTTTATCTTTCATTCTTCCGTTTTAAATCCATTCTGGTGCTTTATTTTATAAAAAATATAAAAAAAGAGGCCTAAAAATATCTTAAAATATGAATTCTTTTAATAAAACTCTATTAAACTTTTTTCCTTTAAAAAATATTTATAATTATTATTTAAATTCATTTAACTATAAATTTTATAATTAAACTATATTTTATTCTTATTATTATGTATGAATAAATGAAACGAATTAATTTAAGAAATTCTTTACCAAATTTTTGGTATCAAATTTACAATGCTTTTTATTTTTTTAAGAAGTTTGATTTAAGTTTTTTTCTATACTTAATTAATCATCATAATCTACTTCTTCATAATTATCAATAAATTATTTAAAAAGATCATTACATTATACTAATTAATTTTAATTCTAACTTTTTTCTTCATTTATTTAATTATTTAGTTAAATTTTATAATTTTATTTTCCTTCAGTTTTCTTTTTTTTATTTTTAAGTTTTTAATTTTCAACTACTATTCTTTTATTTATTCTAATTCTAATTATTACTTCTATGTTTAATCCTATTTTTTTTTTTCTCTGAAATTATTTATTCATTTTATTTGTTTGGAATAATAAAAGTAAAAACATCATATTAATCATTTTAAGAAACTTAAAGATTTTGTAATTCCATTTATGGAGTAGAATAAAATAAAAAAGGTTATTAAAATATTTATTTAAAAAAAAGATTCAAATCTTCATTTTTTTAAGATTCCAAATAATTTTAAATCGGCTAATTTGTAAATATAGTATTTGTTGAACTTGGTGTTTTTTTTTATTACATTATATATTCAGAATTGATATTAGTATTATCTATACTTTAGAACTGAGGTGGTGTCGTATAGTTATATTATATGTTTTCCTTATTGTTTATTAATTTTTTTTAAATGTTTAAAAGAGGAGTAAAAGTATCTTATAATTTTGTAATTTAATTTCTCATTATTTAACTTTTTTGTATGTTAGTTTAGCTATTATGGAAATGCATTTGGTTTTTTTGTTTAAATTGTATAAACTTAAACCTTAAGAAAGTATTTTTATTATTTTATTTAATATTATAATCCTTTGTATTTTTATTTAAATACACGGAAAATATATTTATGAATGATTATATTTAATATAATTTTTTAAAAAAATAAAAAAAATAATTGATTTTATAGTTTTTTACTTTTTTATAAAAAAATAGTAGATTTAATTAATAAAAAATATATAATAATAATTTTTAAAAATAAATAATACTTATATAAAAAAGATACTATTTATGTAAAAATATAATATATCTACTTTTTAAAAATATTTTGATATATTTAATTTATATTAGTAGAATGTCATATTTTTATAATTAAATCAATATAAACATAAAATAATTTAATAAATATATACAATTATAATAATCAATTTTTCGAATCTAAAATACACAAACTACAATTTATATATCTTATAAATATACTTCAAATAATTTTAATTAATTTATTCATAATTTTTAATATATTTTTTATCATTTCATTTAAAAAAGATATATACTTTTTAGCATAGTTTATTTAATATTTTTTAAAATTAAATTTATTAAAATAAATGCTATTATCCGTTTTTTTTCTTGCCTTTTTTATGTAGATTGCTGTTTTAAAAAAATAAAAATATATAAAAATAATATTAAAAACTAATGCATTATTTGATAGTTGATATGAAAATTTAAAAATAAAATAAAAATGATTATTTATTTTATAATCAGTTAACTACAATTTTTATAAGCACATCAATGTTTATACATACTAAGTAATTATTTATAATTGTAAATATATTATTGAAAATTCATAAACAATCTTTTTTAGTTTAAGAAAATTATAACATACTAAAAATATTTTTTTTTATTAAAATTGTTTATTATATTATTTAAAATATTTATTTTTTTATATATATTAAGTTTATTAAAAATATTGAATATAAAATAATAATACCTATAAATAAATAAAAAATAAAATTAAAATATATAAAGACTTTCTAAAATAAAAACATTTTATATAATAATAAAAATAAATTAAAAAATCATAATAAAATATTTATATTTATAGGAAAAAATAAAATAAAATTCATTTTTAAAAAATAAAATAGTCAAATGGTTCATTTAAATATAAAATCCTAAGTAGATCCTAAAGAAAGTCCATTCACTCATTAATGGGATTCCGATGTAAGAGCTAACTATGGGTCTTATTAAAAAGATATTGATAGAGTCACCTACTAATTATAGAGATCTTAAAGAAATATAGCTTTTACAGGATAATGGATGTACCCTAAATTCTTCTAAAAAGACATTTTATAATTAGAATTATTGAGAAAAAAGTAGCAATTAGGAAAAATATATCCAAATGAAGTAAGTTCCTACAAATCTATTAACTCATGTATATCATCAGATTTAAATAATACTTTTAATGCTAAATGGATGTGGCCAGTTAGAGGTGTAGCTGTTGGAGGTGGTTTGTTTGTTGTAGCTCAGTTATTTAACTTACCTTATTCTTTCAGATTGGGTATGTTTATTATTCCTGTAGTTGCTGAAGTTGCTTGGACATGGGGAAATAGAGAATCATTATTTAGATCTTTGGAATTTATGGACTACTTAATATAGTATAGAACTTCAAAGGCTTTATTAGAAGTTAATTAACGTCGTTTTGATAATGAATAAGTTTCATCTTATAAGAAAACTATAAATTCTAATCAATCTGTACAAGATTTACATAATTAACTTGTTAAATTGGTTTATAGTTAACAATGATTATATTTTTTTTTCATTTTTTTAAATAGGATAATTATGTTAAAAAAGATTATTTAGCTTAATATAAGATATTATATTTTACATAATTATTTATATATTTTTTTATTATAAATTATAATATTATGGAATAAAAAATTTTTTTAATCAGAGTTTTTAAATTTTTATTAAATATTTTTTGTGAAAAAACAAAAAAATTTAAATAATTCTTTTAGTAAAAAAATTATATGTATATAATTATATATTATAAAATAAAAAAAATAAAAAGAACAAATAAAAAGACATAATAAAAGACAAATATTATAAGATATATAGAATAATATAAATAATATGCATACATATATATATATATATATATATATATATATTATATATTTTTATATTTATTATATTTATTATATTTTTATTTGCTTATATTCTTTTATTTTTTAACAATGTGTTGAAATTATTTTCATTTAATTATTTTTTATTTATTTTTACATTCACTATTATATAAATTTACTAATTTATCATTAATAATATATTATATTAATCAAAATCATATTTTTATTTATATACTTTAAGTTTAAAAAATTTTTTTATTTTAGATTTTCAATTTTTTTTTTTATTATAAATGCTATTATATTTATTTAATTAAATAGATCTATATTTTTTTTTTTATCTAATATTTAAAAAAAATATATTAATGATATATAAACTATATTTTTTTTATTTTATTTTAACAACTAAATATAATATTAATATGGTTTTTACTATTTATGAATAATTTTGAATATGTATATAAATATTAAAAAACATGAAATTTTAAGCATTTAGATATATATTTTTGTATTTTTTTTTTAATTATCTTTTATTTTATACTGGTATAAATCTAAATTAAAATATTTTTTCACAAATCATTATTAATATGAATTTTTAAATGTATTTTTTAAATTTATATAGATTTATTTTTTAAATTTATATAGATTTATTTTTTGTAATATATTATTGGATATTAAAAAAACAAAGATAAAACAAAAATTTTATACTTTAGTATATTGTTTAAACAAAACTTAAAATTCTACTTTTGTTTATATTATTTATTTATTAATTATTTTATTATTTTGAAAAAAATAATATTTTATGTTTTTTTATACAAGTTTTAAATTCAAAACTTTTTTAATAATTTATATAAATTTTGTAATTATCTTTACTTTATTAATTTTTACTAATTGGAAACATTTATAAATTATTATTTAGAAATAAAACCTAAAATAGAATACATTTCAGAAATAATATTTTATATTAAAATATCAATAGTTATTATCATTTTAAATGAAGTAAAATTTAAATTAAATATTATTAGTTTAGAATATCCAAAAAAATAAGAATTTATTTGATGTATTAATTTTTGAATAGTTATATTAAATACAAAGAAGACAATCTATTCGATAATTCTAAATTTAAGTAATTTAATTTAGATTTTTTAATCTTTTTTTATAATTTTTTACAAAATTTAAATTAATTATTTTAAAGATTATATATTTAACAAAAAATATATTAAAGATTTTAAAATAAATTAAAAATATATGAACATGTTAGATGATAAAACATCTATAGTAAAAATTTAAATGGTCAATAATTTACAAAATATTTTTTTAAAAAATAAAGAAAAGAAATTAATTAATAATATAATGTGTATAAAGACAGTTATTTTTTAAAAAAAATAACCTTTTTATTATAAGAAAATGATATATCAAAAAAAATAGTATAAAATATAATTTATACTATTAAGTTTATTATAAAAAATATTATAATAAGCATAAAATTAATTATTAGAAAATGTTTATTTCATTATTTTTAAATTTTTAAAGAAAAATAAAGGAATAAAATCTGTTTTTTAATACTACATTTATTTGATATATATAAATATATATATATATATATATATATATATATAATATATATATATATATATAAATTATATAATTTTTTTTTATTGAGATTTAATACTTTAATTATATTCTATTTTTTTTAAATCAAACATTAAAAATGTAAATAAATTACATATTTTTTTATTTTTAACAACTAATTTATCTTTAATAATACATACCATATTAAAATTAATTCTTTTGATGCTATTTAGTATATTTTTATTTAAATAAATATATTTATATTAATAAATAATAACACATGATTACTTAAAATATAAAAGTTTATTAAAGAAAAATATTTAAATAGTTTATAGATTTTACTAATTTTTGTATCTGCAGTAATTACCGATGCAGAAATGACCAAAATAATTTATATTATATTATTGTAAATGCGAAATTAGCGATTTTATACAAAGATAAGAGTTTTTTGTAAAATCATTATATAAGTAAACATTTTAAAATAATAATAATGGTTTATGATAGTCTAAATATTTTTAAAATTGGGTGTTATTCTAATATATAATAATATAAATAATTTATCTAATAAATATATTATTACATTTTACTTAATTAGCAGTATTAAAAGGAAGATTAAGTATAATGGTACATTATAAAATAAATAATTTTACATGTCAAGTAAAATACAAGTAATATATTATGAATTCTATTTAATATATAAGTAATCTTATTAAGCATTTTAATTTATTATGAATGAGTTTTTCTTGAATTTTGGATATAAGTTGATGTTTAAATATAATTTTTTATGTTATTACATAATTATATTTCTTATAAAAATTATTAAATTTTTTATTATTTATATTTATTTAAAATAGATTATAAGAAATATAGAAAGTGTAATTCTTATTTTATATATGTTTGATAGATTTAATACTAATTTTGTTAAAAGTCAGATTAATTCTATAGATTTCATATTTTTTAAGAAAGTAAAAAGAAAAGAAAAAAATTGAAAAAAAAAATATAATTAAATTAACATTAATAAAATAAAAATTAATATTAAAAAAGTTGATTGTTAAGCATTCTTTTAAAAATTTTAAACTAACAATTAAATATTAAAAAACATGTAATTACTATATACAAAATATACATTGTCTGTATTTTTTTTTAATTTATGTTTAAATTAATCTTTGTTTTATACTATAAATAATTTTATTAAATATTTAAAGTTATATTAATATATTATATATAATATTTTCAAAATATAAAAAATCATTAAATCTTAAGATTTATTTTAAACAAAATTAATAATATTAAATTTATTTAAAAATATAATTACTTTAAATATTGATAATAAAAATAAATATAATTAATAAATAAGAATTAATTATAATATGAATTATATAAAATGCATATAATTTATATTTTATAATTATTTTCATTTATTAAATAATTCAAAACTATATCAAATAATATATAATATTATTTTTTTATATTAAATAATTAAATATTAATATAAAAATGAATAAAATTAATTACGCGATTGAGCAAAATAAAAATTTATTACGCGATTGAGCAAAGTAAAAATTAATTACGTGAATTGAACAAAGAAAAAATTAATTACGCGAATTGAGCAAAGTAAAAATTATTTTTTCTATAAAAATAATAATAGAAAAAATTATTAAAAGTAATTTTAGTTTATTTTTGAATATATATAATAAATTAATAAAATAACTTACTTGTTTAATCTTATAATTAATTTTTTTTTTTCCTTATATATACAAAATTAATTTCTTGTATTTTATTAAAAATTTAATAATATAAGGCTTATATTTTAAGATTTTATAAAAAAAAAAATATATAACACATGAATCACTTAAAAAAAACAATAGATAACATTATTAAATAAAGAAACAATCATATTTTTTAAATTAAAATTTTATTAAATAAAAAATCTGATAAAAATAATAAATAATAAAAATGGGATAAATAAATTAAAAAGAACTTTAAAGATAATAATTATATAAAGATATATAGAATCTAACCTATTAAAATTTTTAGAATTCATTAGAAATATAAAATAATTTATATTTAGATTCAAAAATATATTAAGAAAAAACGTATTTATTTTTTTATTTCTTAAATTTATAAATAATAAAAAAAAATTATTTTAAATAGTGGGTGTTAAATTGATTATGTTTCATTAAATTAACTTTCTTTATCTTTACAAAATTTAATAAATTTAAAAAGCTTAACAATTGTTTTAGAGTATTTTCTTAATTAAAACTTAAAAAATTATTATATAATAAATGTTTAGGGAATGTAAATTAAATAATTAATGTTTAGAAAATTTATCTCTTTCCATTTTAAAACTGAATAATTTATAAAAAATAGAATTATAAATAAGGTTTTAAACTAAAAATTATTTCGATTTTTAATTAAAAAAATTAATTAATAGTTAGAGTGAAATGAATGTGACAAATTTAATTACACTTATGTAAAATATTTCATAGATGTATTGGATTTTAGACCTTTCCTTAAATATAACGTAAATTTTATTTTTTATGTATAGTTTTAAATGTTCAGTATTAAATTTAAGTTAAAATGAAATTACAAATGAAGGACTAAATCAGCTATCAAAATATATATCAAAAATGACGAACTTGAGAAATTTAAAACTTTTTATTAAGTATAATTTATTTTTTTATGTTAACTAAAAAATTAAAAGTGGTAATAAAATAAAAGAAAAAGGAATTAATTACATATCTTAAGCAATAAGAAGACTTTATAATTTAGAAAATGTTTATATTGACTTATAGTAAAAAAATTAGTATAAAATAAATTATTAAAAAAAAAAAGAAATTGTTATGAAATTTTAAATAAGGTAGTTGAATCTGTATATTCAAGAAAAAATTCGGTAAATGGAGTAATAATAGAAGAAACATAAGAAAAATAATGAAATATTTTTAAATTATAAATATAACTAATAAAATATGTATATAACATTAATAAATAAAATTTATTTTATATTTTTTTAAATTATCTTATATTTATATTTTTTTCAAAATTAATTAATTAATAATAATCTAAAATTAAAAATTAACATTTTTGTATTATTTATAAAAATTGAAAATATATGATATTCATAATTATTTAAATAATATATAAGATATTAAAGATATTTTAATTTTAAATTCAAATAAATATACCTAAAAATAAAAATATCTTTAAATAAAATTAAAAAATATAAAAATAAATAGAGAATAAAAAATAAGTAAAAGAATAAAAATCCTCACATTTTAAACTAAAATATATAAAAAAAGTAAAAAAAATAAAAAATTAAATAGATTGTATTATGTTTATGATTAATGTATTAATAATATATAAAATTTTATTTAATATAATTTAAAATAAAATAAATTAAATATAAAATTAAATATTAAATTTAATTAATTATTTTATTATCATAATAATATATAAATATTAATAAAAAAATAAACATTTGTTGTTATAATAAAAAATCTAAAAAAAACTATATTTTGTTTTCCTACACATTTACCAATCCATGGACAATGATGATTAAAATTTTAAATACATATATTACACAAATTACAATGTGTTCTATCAAAATTCTTAAATATTTAACAAATTTTACATATTCTATATAAATTTTAAATATATTATTTTTTAAAAAATATTGTCTCACCTTGATTCTGGCTCATTGCTTTCTTTATCTAATTCTTGTTTGTATATTATACCAGGGTCACTCAAAAAAACTATTATATATAATAAATGTTCGAGATAATTTACAAATAATAACAACTTGTATTAGTTTTATTTATTTTCATCCTTAAAATCATTTTTTTTAAATAAGCTTATATTAATATAGCTTATTATAGAAATGAACGAATATCCTAATAAGAAAAATTTCCCTTTTATGTTTTGCATAAAATTATTAATATATATTAATTTGATATAAACTTAAAAATATTTACAATGAGGGCCTATTGAAAATAATAATTTTTTTTTATAAAATAATAATGGTATATATTTTCCAAAATAGTGTTACTATTAATTTAATAAATTATTTTTCATTTAAAAAACTTTATTAATTCAAATAATTAATTATAATGAAAGTGATATATTAAAAACCTAATTTATAAACAAATACTAGTTTTATTTATGATTTTTTTTTTTCTTAAATATTATAATATATATAAATATAAATATTTTTTATCCTAATATTAACAAATTGTTTCAAATAATAGTATTTAAAATGACAAAACAGTAATAAAATATAAATCTAAATTCTTATAAAATATAAATATAAATGTGCTATTAATACAAAGAAACATTAAATTAAATTAAATTAATAAATTATATAAAATGTGTAAATAAAATCCCTTATTAAAATAAAATATACGTAAAAATAATACATAATAACTATTTTCTAAAAAAAAAAATGATGAAAATAATATTTAAGTACATCAATCTACAAAAGAAATCAATAAATAAAATAAAATACTTTAACTCAACATTAGCATTAGAAACCTAAAATAAAATAAATATAACTGAATTTGCAAAATTAGTAGGATAATTGAAATCTGTAAAACGAGCAGGATGGACATATTTTAATTAAATAAAAGAAATAGAAAGTGTTGCAGACCATACTTGGAGAATGAGCTTTTTATGCTTATTACTTTCACATGACAAAAATATTAATATAGAAAGATGTATTAAATATTCTATTATTCATGATTTATCTGAAGTTGTTGTTGGAGATATTACCCCAATAGATGAAATTCCTGATATGTAAAAATAAGAAATCGAAGACAATGGAATTAAATAAATTTTATTAAAATTAAATAATGAATAAATTAAAAAATAGATTTATTAAATATGGTATGAATACTAAAATAAATTGTATCCTGAAGCTTAAATTGTTTAAGATTTAGACAGATATGAAATGATGCTTTAGGCTTTTGAATATGAACAAAAATATCAAGGAGTTGATCTTTCAGAGTTTTTTAGGGACTCTTATAAAATTAGTAATCCTATAATTTAAGCTTGGTTATATGAATTAATTTAAAAAAGAAAAAGTTATTTAATCTAAAATAATATTAATTGAAATTGTAATTTGTTATTTATATTTTTATTATTATTTGTATTAATTTAATTTATTTGTATAAAATATAGGAATAAAAGACTTAATTTTTTATGTTGTATAAAAAATATAATAAATTTTATAAAATGAGAAAATATAATATTTATTAAATCACTTAAAAAATACAATAGTTTTTTAAAAAATTTACTACTAACAAAAATTATTATATTTATTAGATATAAGAAAGTAAAATATATATAATAAATGCTTAGAATAATGTTTTTAATTTATATTTTATTTTCAATATTTTTAAATTAATAAGTTTTTATAAATTATGTATTATTTATCAAAATTTATTAAACAAAGTTCCATACATTTTCATATCATTTGTATTGATTTATTTTTATTATGTAACATTTTATTAATTAGGTTTAGAATCGTAATTAGTTTCATTAACCATTTCTTCTAATTGCTTTAACTCATTAATCTTTTTTTAATTATTAAAATCGGAAAATATATGCCTTTTTTTGTGATTAAAAGTATCTTTTTAATTGTTTTCTTAAAAATTTCTTTATAAATAACTTGGAAGAAAATAATTATCATCTATCTATTTATTTAAATCAAAAGGTAAATCAAACAAATCTATTTTATACTAATCCAAAAGAAAAGAACTAAATAATTCATCAAATTTATTATTTTCTTAATTTTATGAAAATATAATTTAATTATTATCAAGCTATTAACTATCTTGGTTTATGAATATATTTTATTTATTTTCATTATTATTATTATTATTATATAAAATATTTTTATTATTAATATTGTTTAAATTTTTTTCATTATTAATATTATTTAAAATATTTTCATTTTCATTATTGTTTAAAATATTTTCATTATTATTATTGATTATATTTTCAATGTTTTATTAATTATTTATTTATTTATAGTTAAAACTATTCATGTTTAAATATTTTGTTTTTTTTTTTTTTAATATAAAATAATGTTTTATTATAAAATAAATTATATATAATGAATAATTTTAATTATAGTAAAATATTTTTTTATCTAGATAATTTACAAAGCAGTTAAAATATTTATTAATCCAAAGATAAATAAAAATAAGAGAAAACTACAAATATAAATATGGAATAATATAATAAAACATTGGATATGATAAATAAAATACAAAATTCAATTTAGATGTGTGATTAACTATTAAACGATACTCCTCGAATGTATGAAGAAGTACGTGAAAAAAAGAAATCTTTAGATGAACTCTTTTAAAATAAAGGTAATTAAGATGAAAACAACTCCTAAATAAGAAATAGATTTAATACGTATTAAGCGTAGTAAGCACAAAATTCAGATAACGGATTAAAATAAAATACAAATTAATTATTATTTTAATTCTAAAATAATTGCATTTTAAATTAAGAAGATATATAATTTCATTAAGTAAATAATATTAATCCTTAATAAAATAATAACTTCAATTTGACACTGAATGACAAAAATGGCCTTACATAGCCAAAAGAAATAAAAATTACTAAATAAAATAGTGAGTTTTTAAAAAAGCTTACATCTTACAAAAATAATATGATATAAACTGAAGAAGATATGAAATTATTAGAAAAAGATTTTAATATGATAGAAAATTAAATATAGATATAAGGATCTTGTGTCTTTAAAGAAAAAACTTTAATATTTGTAGATCCTAAAGAATTCATATAATAAAAAGTAGAAAATATAGAAGATAAAATGTTAAGATAGTCAAGAATCGATTTAGGTACTTATGATAAAGAGTTTGAAAAAAAATATAAGCATTCAATTTATAATTTCTAAATTATAAAAAAACTTGGTTCAGGAAAGTTTTCTGATGTATTTATAGCAAAGTAAAAATAACTGTTTTTTATAAAAAAAAAATAATTATTAAAAAAAAAAAAAAGAGATAAACTTACTGGATTTTATGTCGCTTTAAAATAAATAAAATTTTCAACAATTGTAGAGTTTAATATATATTAAGATATTTCAAATGAAATTATTATGTAAAGCAAACTCAAGCATAAAAATATTATTCAAATTTTTGGATTTTTTATTACAGACGATAGTATTTACCTGATTCAAGAGTTAGCTTGTGGAAAAGAACTTTTTGCAGATATGAAAGCTTAACCGAATAAATCTTACAATGAATCAATTGTATCTCTATACATAAGGTAGGTTGCTGATGCACTTCATTATATGCATATGTATAATATTGTACATAGAGATATTAAACCTGAAAATATATTGATTTGTGATGTAAAATAATTTTATTAAATATAAATATATTTTTTTTATTAAAGGGTATTTTAAAAGTTTGCGATTTCGGATATGCTGCGCCTTTTTCAAAATAAAATTTAAGATCAACTTTTTGTGGAACTTTGGAATATGTAAGTCCTGAAATGATTGAAAATAAAAAATACAATAATTCAGTTGATATTTGGTCATTAGGAGTTTTAACATATGAGCTTATTTTTGGAAGATCTCCTTTTAATGGAAAAGATCATGAAGAAGTTTTTGAAAATGTTTTAGGAGTAAATATTAACATTTTTATTTGGTTCCACCTTTTATAATTTTTTTTTTTAAAAAAAAAGGGTAGCTTAGAATTTTAAGGACCTATTACTTTTGAATGTGGAGATTTCATATCTAGGCTTTTAGAAAAAAATCCAAGTAAAAGAATGAAACTAGCTTAAGTATTAAAGCATCCATTTATAGTTAATGTGAAAAATAATAATATTTCTTTTGATAAAAATACAAAAGTTGAGGATTTTTAATTTCTTTAAAATTGAATTTTTCAATTTTATTTAAAAAAAAAAAATATTTTAATAAATATTTTAATAATATTATTTTTAATGCTAGAAATAATTAATTCTTTTTCATCAAAAAATATATATTTTTATAAAAAATTTCATTGAAAGTTTTATATTTTATATCATATTTAAATAGCAATTATTATTAGAAATATATTAATTAAAATACATATTATTAAAATAAATTAAAAAAATCAATTATAACAAAAATATTAATACTTAATTAATTATTATTTAGAAAACAAGAATGTAAATAGAGAATTATAAACTTTAATTAAAAACTATTTTTAATAATAATGTAATTGGAAGAAAAATAATTAAACTTGGTTGAAATTAAATGAAGTATAATGAAATTTTCAGGTTAGTTAAATCATGAAATTAAAAAGTAATTAATTCATAATATATTTAATTTTTTACTTGTTTAAAAGATAACTTTAGTAAATTTAGTGATAGTTATTAATTTATTTTTAAAATAAAAAAGAAGAAGTAAATGTTATGAAAAAAATAAATAAAAATTTTGGTGAAATTGAATTCTTTTTTAGAATAACTAAGGCAAATTTCTGCAAGAAGTATTGGATATAAATGAGTTATAAAAATTAAAAAAAATATGATTTTATAAATTAAAAAAAAAATATTTTATTGCTTTAAATAATATAATCTCCTAAGTTAATTTTTTAACTTTTTAATAAATTTGAGACTAAATCGTTTTTTCCTAAGATAAATAAATAAAAAGATCGAAGTTTTATTTTATAATTTTACTATTTTATCAAAAAGAATGATTCTAAATGTTAAATATGTGAAAGTTACAATCATAAATATAAAAATGGTGATATAATACATTATAAACCAAATAAAAATAGCCATAATAAATAAAATTTAAAATATTAGAAAAACATTAAAAATTTAGAAGAAAAAAAAATAAAATAATTGGGATTCAATAATTAGATAAATAGGCAGAAGTATTTACTAAAAAGACAAAAAAAAAGATTTTTAAACCAATAGTTTTTTTAATTTTAATATTATTTAGATTTAGTGAATATGAGTTAAAATAAAGTCGAAAAATTCAATTGGTATATTTTAATAAAAATAGTAATAATATATATTTAAATAAGACATTATCCATGGATTCTTAAAAAAGGAAAAATCTAAAAAAGACGTAGTAGAATTTAAATAGAGTAGTAAAATTAAAATTTAAAGAGTAAGTAGTAAAACTATCAGTATATTTCATTTAAAAAAACTAAATTATATATTTTAGAAAAGATAGTAATTAAATTTAATAAAAAACATCTTATACTAATTTTAATTATAAACAGATAAGTTATTATTTTTCTCAATTAAAATTTTGTAAATTAATTAGTAAGTGACGAAAAGAAAAATTACATTATAAAAATCTATGAGTACTTTAAAAAAGAAATGTTCTGATTAAGTTAATTATAAAGAAATTCTGAATATATTAGATAATTAAATTTTAATATTAACTCAAAGGTAAAATCAGAATAAAATAATTTATTTAATTTAATAAAATTTAGATTTATTATGTAAAAAATATAATTATAATATTTTGAATAGACATTAATAGTATGAAAGATATTAAATAGTTCTTTGTAAAGTTTAATATGTATTTGTTTATTAAAAATGTATTTAATGTTCATTTTAGATAAAAAACATAAAAATATAGTTAATTTTATAACTCTGAAACAAAAAAAAGAATAAATCATATTTCTAAGAATAAAAAGTAAAGAAAATAAATTAATTATATAAAAAATGAAATAAATAATATATTAAAATATCCACTAAAAATATTAAACAGACATTAAATTTTAAAATCAAGTCAAAATTTATAAATATAAATTTAAATATATTTATGTTTTTACTTTATTTTTAATTTCATATATAATTTCATTTTCATATATTATCATCGTTATTATTCAATGAATTGCTATTTTTGAGCTAATGAACTTTTTGTAAAGTACTAAAGAATTCTTAGAAAGTAATTTAATTATCCTTATTTATATCGAAAATTCCAAAAATAATAAGTGTTTCTTCGTCATTTAAATCTTTATCTATTTTCCTTATTAAGTTTGAAAATTCCTCAATATTAAGTTATTGATCTTCAGATTTGTCATATTTGTTAAATAAATCATTTAAATTAATATTATGTTTTAGAATTGCATATTATAATTTTTAAATAACATGATGAGCTTTTTCTAACTTTTAATTCAAATTATTATCTAAATTACTACTTTTTTAATAAATTGATGAAAATGTATAAATAAAATAAATTTACTGTTATAATTTATTCTAACTATTTTTTTATTATTTAGAACTTAAATTTACATTGTTATTTGAAAGCCATTTCGTAAATTCTTAAAAACTTATACTTTTATCTCCATTATCATCAAATTTATAAAAAATATAGTCAATTTAAGTTTTATCTAATCCTTTATCAATAGACTACATTAATTAAGTAAATTCTTTAAAATCCAACATGGAATTTTTAGTAAAATCGTATTTTTGAAAAAGCTCTTCTAAATCAATCTAATTCTTATAAATAGTCTACCTTAACTCATTAATAATATATTAAGCTTTGTCTTCCAATTAATCAATTAAATTAGTATATTATTAGAAATGCCCTTAAAATAAATTATGTCTAAAAATATCATTCCAATCAATCCTTTTGTTTTCATCAATTACTAAGCACCTTCTAATAAAATCTTTACACAAATCAGAAACAACAAAATTATCAGGAAAAACTAAAGGTAATTTTTATATATTTTTATACAATTAATATTAAGATGTAGCAGTATAAGGAGTATTTCCATACAAGCATTCATAAAAAATAAAGCCTAAAGACCATAAATCACTTTTAGATGTCTAAAATATATATAAATTATATATAAAAAGATAATTTTACATATTTATCTTCAGATAATATTTAAGGAGACATATAAAGAGGGGTTCCAACTAAAGAAGAAAGCATTTATTTTTAAAAATTATCAACAGTTTTTGCAAATCCAAAATCTGCAAGTTTATATGAATCTCCTTTAATCAATATATTTTCAGGTTTTAAATCTCTATGGATAACACCATTTTTAATAAGCTCAATAAATCCATTTAATAAATCTTTAATTACATATACCGCTTCTTATTCAGATAAGCATTATTTTCTTTTCAAACAAGTTCTTAAATCACCTCCATCACAAAATTCTTGAATAATATAATAATTGTTTGACGTTTCTAACACATCTATTAATTCTACTATATTTTAATTTTTAAATTTTTTCATTATTGATATTTCTTAAAACAGACCATTCATCATATAGGCATCATCTTAAATTAATTTTTTATCTATTGCTTTTACTGCTACTGCTTAGTTATTTTCAGTATTTTTTCCTTTGTATACTTTACCAAACGAGCCTTATCCTAAAATACCTGAAAGCTAGAAATTATATTTATCTATTCTCTTTACATCTTAAGCCTAATTCTTTTTTATTTATTTTTATATTTATATTTTTAGAAATAAGAAAAGAAAAAAATATGAATAAATATAAGTATAATAAAAAATGTAATGAATATTTGTGAAAGTTTTCGGCTATTTTTTATTTATAAAAAGTTGATTTTTACCATTTTTTTATAGATATATATATCTTGAATTATTATTTATATATTTAATTTTTATATCTAATTTTATTTTTTTATTTATTATTATAATATATAAATCGTAAATAATAATTTAATTAGATTTTTTATAATTATTTTTTAATTTTATATTTTCTAATTAAAATAGTTATATGATTAATAACTTTTTCTTTATAAAATTTAAAACTATGATAAGCTATTATAAATTAATTCTTATAAAAAATTATTTTATTTTAATTTTTACTTAGTTTTAATCAATATTTAAGTAAAAAAAATATTTTTTATTTATTTATTTTATCATATAAGATTAAAAAAAAAAATATAATTAATTATTTTTAATGAAAATAAAGGAAATTTTTTTAAAAATATTAATATAAGTAAGAATTAAAATATTTAAAAATAAAAAATTTTAAAAATATGAAAAAATTTATTTTTTAGAAAAGTTAATTTAAAGTAAAAAACTATTATATCTAAAATAAATAATCTTTAAAAATTAAAAAAATAGTTTTAAATATCATATATATTTTATAATAAAATTATATAACATATATATTTAATTTTCTAATCTTTTTTTTATATTCATATCTAAACATTTTATTCTAGTATTTTATTATGTGCATCAACTCTTTATTTTACCCAATTATAAAAATCTGCATTTTTGGGATCATTTATTGCTTATTCCCATTTAGTTCCCTGTGGCGATTATAATAATAAAAATTAAATAATATTACCTTTATATTTTTAGCCAAACTAATCATTTTTTTAATTAAATATTTTCCAAACTAAAAAAAAAAAACAAATAAAAAAAAAAAATATGAAAAATTACTTATTTACAGAAGAAGTTAATCATCCATTTAGGAATAAAATTAACTTTTGGATTAATATTAGAAATAATTTTAATTTTAACACTTTAAATAAATAAAATAAAAATAAAAATAAAATCATACATTCCATTTGTAATTGGTTAAATTTCACATGAAAAAAATTTTATATCAATCTAAACATTTTTAGATTTAGTCAAATCAATCCCTATTTTTTACATTAATTCTTTATCATTCTATATAGACCTACATTTAATCAAAATAGTTCCATTTACATCTAATCTATCTATACCAATTCCTTCAATATAAGCATCTCTATTATGTATAAAAGGTAACCCCATTTCAAAATAGGCGGTCTTCTAACTTTTTTTGAATTTAGCTATCTATTATAAAATTATATAAATAATTTTAAAAATATATATTTACTGTATATGATTGCTTACAAAAAGGTAACCATTCGGTAAATAAATCTACTTCATAAATCAAAGCAACTAAATTAAACCAAGGTATTTCTAATTCTGCATGCGCTTTTATTGAAACTGTATTTGTTTACTCGAAAATCTTAAAACTAATTTCAAAGTTTTCACTTATTTTATTTACTTCCCATTTTTCATTATTGTGCATTTCTATTAATTGTAATCTTGTATTGTCCATTGTATCTTTTATTTCTTTTTTTACTTTATTTAAATAAGTTTAGTTTTTTTCTAAAATTTCTTGGTAATTTTTTTATGTATTTATTTAATTTAATAATTCATCAAGCTTTTTTTCAGCTATATCAAATAAAGATTCATTTATATATTATTGGATTTCATTTAAATTTTTAATTATATCGGATTGTTAATCTTCCATATTTTATTTTTTTAATTAAGAATTATAATAATTTAATAAAAAAAAAAAAAAAAAAAAATTATTTAATATATTTTTTTTACGATATATCTTTTTAAAAAATATATTGTATATATATTTAATTTTTTTTATTATTAATAAATAATAAAAAACAAAATAAAATATAATATATTAAAATATATTAAATAAAGCAAACTTAAATATAATAAAAAAAATTAAATATATCTTATTATTAATTTAAAATGGATTATAATAAGAAAAAAAAAATATTTTAAAGATTATATTATCCAAAAAAAAATTATAATAAAGTATTTATTTTTAGAATATATAAATATATAAAAATTCAGATTAAGATTAAAATTAAAATTAAAACTTAAACTAATTATTTTATTAAAATAGCAAAAGCAAAAGCATTATTATAATAATTAATAATTAATAAAAAATAATATTTTATGTTTCAAATTGTTATAACCTTTAAAAAGCAAAATAAAATATATTCTTTAATTTTTTGGTTTATAATCATTTATAATTAAATAAAAAAATGATAACTATATTATGTATGTATTTTTATTTTAATTTTAAATAGAGTAAACAAAAATTAGAAGAAAAATAAGAGTTTAAATATAGTTCATTGTATAAAATAAAATTCAATACATTTTTAATTAAAAATATTTTAAAATTTAATGAAAAAAATAAAATATTAATTTAAAAATATAAATATTTATTTTATTTTCATATGAAAGTAAAAAAAAATTATATAAATTAGAAAACTAATTAAAAATATATTCAATTTAATAAAGGCTTTTAATTAAAAATTAGGAATTAAAAGAAAAACTTTATTGAATATATTTTTAAAAGGTAATCTATATACTCACTACTTTTTGACTAAGATAATTTAATGATTAAATTTATAATAAAACATTATTGTCAAAAGAATATATTAATATTAGAAAAATTATAATTTAAAAATTAGAATATTTATATTATTAATCAACATAAAAATTAATAAAATAATTAACTTGAGCAAATAAATAATTATATTTAATAAAAGATTATTTTGATTAAAAAGATTTTAAAAAAATAAAATTCTAGCAAAATACAATTATTTAATATAATTTGTCAATAATAAATAAATTACTTTAAATAATAAGTTTTTGATTTTATTTTATTTTTTTAAAAAAAGAAAATTAATAGATAGTATTTGATAAGGTATTAAGAATCTTAAATATAATAAAAAATATTAATAAAACTAAAATCAAATTTATTTCTAAAAAATAAACAAAGCTTTTAAAAAACATATTGACCAAGAACCTTTTATTAGTTAAAGTAAAGAATAATTTTATTATATAAATATTTATATTATTAAACATAAAAGCTAAAAGCAAATATAAACATAAAAAATTATATTGCTGGCATCATTTTTTTTAAATATTATTATAATTAAAAAATAAAAAATCATTATTATATTTATGATTTGATTTATTATTATATTTATGATTACTGTTCTTATTATTAAATAACTCCATTATTTATTTAGTTTTAATTAATATTTTTTTAATTTTCTTCTTATTTTGATTGACTTTATTATAATTACTGTTGTTATAAGCATTCCTATTCTTTGTTAAACTATTTTTCTGCATTTTCATTATCAATTTATTCTACATATCTTCTAATTTCTCTCTCGACAATATCCTAAAAAAAAAAGATTAAATATATGTATTAAATATAAATAAAATATACTTAATTATCAACTAAATATTATAATGTTTTAGGATCTTCTATAATTGCTTACTAATCTTCTTTCATAATCTAAAAATAATATTATATATTTGAAAAAAAAAAATTAATACTTAGAGTAAAATGTTCTGTTGTAAAATCATATTTTCTATAAAAAGGGAAGGATTTAAAGTATAAGCATTATACGAATCTCTTTTAAATTTATGGCTTTTTATTTTGTCAAAATTTTCTTATATTTATTTGTCCAAATCTTTTATTTATTAATTCAAAGTCATAAAAGGATGTTTTGGAGTTTCTTTTTTTTCTTGTAAAACTACTTTTTATGAAAAGAAAGGGAAAATTTCAGTCCCTAACTAACTATCTACATCAACAATAAAATCAAAAACTTTTTCATTTTATTCAGGAGTTCCACTCAATCTTTTTTTTATATTAAAATATATATATATATATATATATATATATATATTTATATATTTATATATATATATATTTATATATTTATATACTTAACTAAATATTTAATTGTTATAGGTGATGGAGGATGAAGGTATTATCTAATTTTTCCTGTTATTTATCCAATATTAATTTTATCTTATAAGAAAAGCTTTTTTATTTTAAATAAATTATATATTATAATTTTAATAATATTAATTACATTTTTTAAAAGTTCGTCACAATTTATTTCGCTTTTATTTTCATTATCCTAAAGATTTTTAAGCTTTATTTAATAATAAATTAAATTTAATTATATTTTATTTAGAAAAATACTTTTATATATTCCCAAACAGCACTTAAAGCTGTGCTTCTACTACATTAATCATATCCAATAACCTATGCTAATTTCTAATCAACCTTTTAATAAAATAAAAATTTATGAAAAAATATAATTAATAAAAAAATGTAAACTTTAAATTTTAAAGGGCAATAGTATTAATAAAAATGAAGAACAGCTACTGTTTCTTGACTACTTTACTTTCTCACTATTATTCCTTCACAATCTTATTTATCTTACTTACGCCACTTATTTTTTTATAAAATATAATTAAAAAAAAGTAATATTTAAGAATAATAATACGATAAAAACGTCAGGATTTACTCCTCCTTATTAGCTTTAAATGGTTTAATTTCCTAATTCAATATAAACTTTAGAAAAGAAGTTTGAAAAAACTTATTTTTGAGTAGTAAAATTAGCTGCGTTATTCTAAAAAAAATATTTAAAAAATATCCAAATAAAAAATTACTTTATTTTATGATAATAAATGCCCGTATATTTTTAATTACCATTAATACTCATTTTTTTAATTATTTTCTTAATCGAAATTTTGAAATTCAGCATTTGGATATTTTTAAGGTTCATTAATTAAATTATAATCATTACTTATATAAATTCTAAAAATCTATTTATTTTTCTAAATTGGAAGTGCGAAATTTTCTTACAAATCAAAACGTTTTTTTTAATCATTTTATCTAATTTTTATTCATATTAAAAGAGTCTTTAGATAAGTTAAAAATCGCTACTTATTTATAACATATCTGGAGTTATTTCTGGATATTAAAATTGATAATCATAAAAGGAATTTATGTGGTATTTAGAATTAAATTATTATTATTATTAAAATTGCTAAAGATATTATTATTCAGTTGATAATTATTATTATTAAGAAAGTTATTATGGTTATTATTGCTATGGATGATTTATTTATTATTATTATTATTATTATTATTATTATTATTATTATTATTATTGCTATTGTTAATATTGATTTTATTATTGTTAAGGCATGCTATTTAAATACATTTGTTGTTATTGTTTTAAAATCATTTCTTTTTAATATTAATATTATGGTTGCTAATTTTCTATGAAGTTTATTTTTTATTTCATTTTTTAGACTTCTTGTTATGGAACTGTATAATTATTTTTGTTTTACATTTTTTTTAAAAAAAAATATATATTTTTTCCTTTTCTTTAATTTTTATTTAATATCTATTTTGTTGAATAGATTTAAAATATATATGTATTTAATTGAAAAATTAAAAATTTAATTATAAGTGGGAGAAAAATATAAATGGAAATAAAAAAAAAATTAAAATTAAAAAATTTAATAATTTTTTAATACAATATATAAGTTAATTATTTTTCTTATTTTTATTTACTTAATTTACCTTCATTTAAAATAATTTGTTTTAAAAGTTATAATAAATAATAAAACAGCATAAAAAATAATTAAATAAAATGAGTTTTTTGTAAAATAGTGAATTTATAACAGTAGATTTAGATTTTGATTAAAACTTTTTAGTCTTATATTTAGAAAAGTTTGATGAAAAAACTCTTATATTATTTTGTTTTAAATAAAATAAAATATATGTTCTATTTTATATATTAAATGATTAAGGCTTGCTATCTTATATTCATTAACATGTTTTAGTTTCTCCTTTTTATTTTCCTTAAATATATAAAATACATAGAAAAAAATACATAATAAAAGATACTGATTTATATATAGTAAATGTTAATCCTTCAAATACAAAAATAATAAAAAAGTTACAAAAATTTCCTTGTTATAATCTGTTAGGTTTTGATAATTATAAGATTGTTGTTTAAGATTCTGAAGGAATAAAATTAATAAATATATAAAATTTTAAAATAATAAAATAATGTTAGATGTAAGGAGGACAAATACTTGATTTAGTAAAAAATCTACAAGACAAATAAAAACAAATAATAATTTAAGAATAAAATAGTTTATATTCATTCGAATTATTTAAATAAGAGTTCAATTTAATTTATAAATTTCATAAAGATTTGGTTGGAAATAAAAAAGTAGTCCGTTTATAATAAAATATATATATAAGTGTTTTTCATTCAAGTAGTAATTATGTTGATATTTAATATTTTGAAATTTTAAAATAATCAAATAAATAAATAGAATTTACTTTTAAAATAAGAGATATTCGGAATCTTTTATTATATTCTATTTTTTAGCAAAAAAATTCTGATTTGAAATATATTTTTTTTGTATGCTTAAATTTACACGGTAAAACTGAACTTATAATTTATTAATTAAATTATGATAATTGCTAAATTTACAAAAACTACTATTTTGATCATATAAATCCTACATTAATTAAATGCTTATAAATAAAAAATGAAGTTTTTTTTTTTATTTAATTTTAAGATTCAGTTTAAAAATAAGACTTTTACGTAAATAAATTATTTAATTATTGAGTTGAATTTTTTATCTTTATTTTTTTTATGTTTTTAATAAATTATAAATATTATATGTATTTTATAATAAATATAATTATTTTATTTATCAAATAAAAAAAGTTGATTTATTTTTTATTTTATTTTATTTTAAAAAAAAATGAATAATATATTTTATATCAAATTTCAAAACTTTTAAATTATAATGATGTTTTCTTGTTTTCCCAATGTTCTTAAGGCTTTCTTGATATCAAATAAAGGTAAATTTGAATTTAAAATTAACTATATTCGGATCTACTAAAAGGGTTTATAAATGGAATTCTTATAACATAGTCGGCATTAGGATAGTTATTTTAGAAAAATTAATTAATATTTATTTCTTTGAAATCTTTTTATTTAATAATTTCATCTTTTGAATTTTATAAATTATATTTTAAAAAAGTTGCTTATTTATTATAATTATTTTTGTTGGTTTTTTATTCTTTTTCATATTTAAATTATTTAAAAGGATTTAATAATTAGAAATAATGTTCATTTTCTAAATCGAACTTAGAATTACTTTAATTTACTAGTTCTATAGGAATACTTATATTTTAATTTATCTAAAAATAATAATAATAGATTTAAAAAATAAAATATATAAATTAATTATTTACATTTCCTTCTAAGTTTTTTATTCTTTATTATTTTTAAGATAATATAAGATTTAATGGTGGCAATTAAAATTAAAATTATTTATTTTATTCATCTTCAAGCATAAAATTTAAGTTCAAAATTCCATTTATTAAAAACAAACCTGAAATTATGACAGAAATATCATTTTTATTTAAATTTAGATTAGAATTATTAATTTCTTTTAATTATATTTTAACTTCATTTAATTTAATCTATTATTTTTTAATATATCAATAACAAAATAAATTACTTTATTCTATATAGCATAATGCTATATTAAAGTTAAGAAATAAGAAAATGGATTAATTATTTAATCAAGTTAAATATGCAATTGAGTTTAATTTATATTATTTTAAAAAATAAATTATAAATTATTTTGAAATTATAATATTTTATAAATGTAATTATTTAAAGAATTTTAATTTGAATAAAAAGTAGCATCTTACCATTTAGAAGGAACTTTATTTTTCAAAAGAGAAATCAAAATTTTATTTTTATAGATACAAAATTCATTGCTAAAAAAAATAAAAAAAATAAAAAAAAAAATTTTTATATTATTAATTTACTCTGATTAATAAATTAAATATAATAATTATTAAATATCCTATATTATCATATCAAACTTAAGAAAAAAAAAAAAAATATATATATATATATATATATATAAATATATATTTATTTATATATTTATATATTTATATATTTATATATTTTTTTTATATATACTATTTTATTTATGTATATTATTTCATTTAAAATATAAATATTATTTAAATCTTAAAATGAAATTTTTTTTTCCTTTTTTAATAATTAATTTGAAGATTAATTTTAAATATTATTATCAGAAAATTAACTATTACTTTCTTTTAATATACTATTATTTATTTCATTATTTTTTATATATTTTTTTTTTAGATTTTTTTTTTCTATTTTTTGTTAAATTTTTTAAAATCTATTTATGTCAATTTTTACTTAAAAGATTTACAATAATTATTATAATAAAAAAAATGTTTCATCTAGTTTATTTTTTGTATTTTATTATTTAAATTCTTAATATTACTAATATTTATTAATTAATTTTTATGCATTTTAATAATTATATAATATCTATTAATTAAATTAAATATTCGATATTTATGGTGGATCTTCCTTTGGAAAATTATTCATAAAATTTAACTCATCATCTTCTTCTGCTAAATTATTATTTTAATTTTTATTTAATAAAGGAATCTCATATTAAAATTCATTTTCAGAAACAATTTTTAAAGATTAATTTGTCAAAATAGCATTTTAAAATTATGAAGCATTTTATTTAGAAGATCCAAAGAAAATTTGACATATTTTTGGTTAAAAAATAAAGTCTAAAAAGTGAGTATTTTTTAAAGAAATTAAAGCTTTTTTATTTAAAAAAATTTCCTGTAGAAAAACTTCTTCTTTAAATTTTAAAGAAAAGAAAATTTCATAAAAAGATTAATTTTTTACTTAAAAAATAAATTTGAAGTAATTTTTAATTAAAAATTAGAAAAATTTAAATGGAAATAAAATTGTTTTATCTTAATTTTCTTTCAAATAAATATTATTATTTAAATCTAAAAAACAATTCAAATTAAAATATTTTTCTTCAATTTTTCCTTTTTATTATTCCAAAAATAATTTTATTTTCATATGTTCTTCTTCTTTTATTTTCTCACTTAAATATCCTTTTGAATTTTATTTATTTTCTTTAACATATATTCTCATGCAATTACCTTTTTTAAAAAAAATAAAAAATATAAATTTATTTATATTATTTATAAAAAAATTAAAAATTTATCAATATTTATTTTTATAAAAAAAATAACTTAAAAAAGGTGAATTTAAAAACTATGCATCTAAAAAATTAGTTTCTTTTTCTAAAATAAACAACTTCCAATTTTTTTAAGAATTTTATCCTTCAAATAATTCTCTTATTTTACCAATTAAAGTTTTTCTTTCTTTTTCATCTAAATAACTTAAATTTTCAAGCAATATCCATTCTTCACATCCTGCATAATTTTCGATTTCTCTACAAATGTATTCTATATTAATTATATTACAAGAAATTTTTATTATCTAGACTTTAATTTTCAACTATTAAGCTTTATTTTATAAAATAAAACTTATATTAGGAATTTAGTAAATATTCTTATATAAAATAAAAATAGGCTTTATAGATAAGAATTCATTTTTTTAAAATAAATAATCAGGAAAATCATTATTCTTTTCAAATAAGTCTTCTATTTCTTCTAAAGTATAGTTTAATTCTTTCTACAAAATATCCTAAATAAAAAAAAGAAAAGCTTTTTCCAAAAGATCTGGCTTGAAGTATTTAACAAAAATAAGAATTTGAATTGGACTAAGTTTTTTTTCTAAGCCAGAAGGCATTAAAGGGAAAAAATATGAATTACTTTGAAAAAAAGATGTATTTTAAAATTAAATCCATTCTTAAAAAGCTTCTTAAAAGCTTTTTTTAATAAGAAAAATTTTACTGTTTTCATGAAAAAAAGGTAAAATTTATTCGAAAGCTTCAAAAGGGCCTTTTCCAAATAAACTAATAAGTTTATTTTCTAAAGTAGTATTAGTTATTTTATCAAAAGTACCATTTATTTCATTTTCTTATGATATATCTATTTATAGTTAAGGGAGTAGTTTTTTCTTTTAATTTTTTTCGTTTATAAATATTTTTTCATTTAGTTTATTGTCTTTAAATTCTACTAAAATATATTTATTTTCTTCTTTATTTTTTAAATATAATTAGGATAAATTTAAAAGGAAAAAGAAAGCTTTTCTATTACTCAAATTAAATAAAAAAACATTTTTAATTATTTTCTTTTTGAATAATATTATCCAATTATTATTATTTTTATTTTTTTAATTCTTTTATAAACTTTCTTCTTCTTATTATATTTCTTTTCCACAAAAAAATACATTTTCAACTAAAAAAAAATTCATAAATTAATTTTAAAGTCCCATTTTTTCTAAAACAATTAATATTTTTTCAAAAAAATCCTTAAAATTATCATATACAGTTTAAAGAATTTCAAACAATTCTAAATTAAAGTAACTTTCTTCTAACATAATTTAATATACTATCTCTTTATTTTCAAAAAGAGCCATATTTTTTTTTTTTTTATCTTCTTCAGAAATCAACACATTCACTTATTTTTACATAAAATTAATTTCTTAAATTAAAAAGGGATATATAGAAACATCACTAATATCTTTATGGATTTACATTTTTTCTATTAATTATAGAATACATTTATCTACTAAAAGTTCTCCATTTTTAATCTATTGAAGCTCTTTTTACACTATATTAGATATTTTAGAATCCCAGAAATATGAATGGAATAAACTTTTATAAAAAAGAACATCTAAGCAATCCTAAACAGAAAACCTACAAAAGAAGAAAAAGAAGCCGTATTTATTTTAACCGAAAATATTTTTATTCTTTTAATAAAATAAATCATCAATAATAATATAAAGACGAAAATTATTATGAATTTTAATTTTTTCTCCGAACAAAAATACTTCATTTTTAAAAAATTATTAATTCATTTTCAATTGTTTATTTATTAATAAAATTTTTATACAATCAAAAAGTTCTTCTTATGGATTTTAAATGATTAAATTAAGTCCAAATTATACACTTTCAGTGATATTTTTTTACGTTTTTTCTGTTTTTATTTCACTTTCAATAATTATTTACTCTTAAGAAAATTTATTTCTTAAAAAATACAAAAAAATACCAGAACTCTCATCCAAAATTAAAGGATAATAAAAAGAGTCTTTTTCTGCCAAAAATTCCACTATAGAATATACACAAAGGAATTATTAAGAAAAAACAATATTTTTTTCTTACATTTTTTAATAAAAAAATGTATTATTTTGTTACAAATAGCGATATATTTAGATGTCTTTTATCAAAGAAAAATCTTTATTTTCAATTTTTAATTCATCTTCCAATTCTTATCGATCTTTTGGGGATAAATGTGTTATAAAAAACACACTAAAAGCTATTTTTTAGACTGTTTATTCGCAAAATAATTTCTCAGTTAGTCCAAAAGTATCTGTATATAATTTACTTTAAAAAAGCTTTTAAAATTAATCAAAAATGCTGTTAAATTTATTTAAATTTTCTTCGAACGAAGCAATTTTTTACTCACTTAGTTTTTCTTTTTATTTTACTTCTTCTAGTTGTTTTGGTAAATCATTTAAAAACTCTTTAGGCGCTTTTATTTTTTATTAAGAAATATGCAATTATTTAAAAAACTTCTATTATGTTTAAATAAGATCGTCTAAGTTTTCATTAATTTCTCTTCTTTCAGCCCAGTTTCGGCAAATTTCAATTGAAAATTCTATATATTTTAGTAATTCTCTTTATAATAAATTCAAATTTATTGATAAATACACATTAGAAGCATTTTCTAATGAACCACTATATTTACCTATTTCTTTCATTAATTCATATTATTTATTTTCAAACTAATTTATTAAAATAATATAGTATTATTTTTAAATTTACTTTATTTTAATTAAAACTGATTATTAGAGATTTCATTTATTATTAATCTTATATAATTTATATAAATTTTTATTTATAAGATTCTAAATTTTAAATTTCATTTGGATTAAAAATTTAATTTTTTTTGCTTTATTTTATATCTGTGTTTATAATTTCAATTGTAAATTAATATTTTTCAGACAATATATTAGCAAACATAATAAAAAATACAATTATATAAATATTAATGGCTTTATTCTAAACGAATTTATCTGCGTCAATCTAAGAAATTATAATATATATACACATATATACATATATACATATATATATATATATATATATATATATATATAATATTTATTATATTTATTAAATTTATTATATTTATTATTATTTTTTTATTTATTATATTTTTTTTTATTTATAATTTTTATTATATTTATTTTATTTATTATTTTTTTTTATATATATTTAATATATTTATTTAATTTTATTTTACATATTCTTTGTATTTTTCTGGTTTTATTTCATTAATTTCTTTAATTACATTTGCCAAATTAGATTCAGATTTTTATGTTTATTACATAATTCTTTAAAGTTTATCAATTTTCTCATTAAGTGTACTTAATTTACTTTATGTTTCAATAATTTCTTATTATAATTAATTAAAAAGAATAAGAGAATCTGAAATGATATTTTCTAGGTTTTATTTTTATTTTATAATTTAACAATGTTCTTATTTTTTATTAGTGATTTATTCTTCAAATTAAAGTTGTTTATCAATAAGAACTGTAATAAGTACACTGAAGTTATCTTTTTCATATTTTAATTTAATTTTTTATTAAAAAAGTGATTTAATAACATTTAAGAATTTTGAAAAATAATCAAAACTATAATTTTTAAAAGGAATGTTTTTATTCTCATAAAACTTTTTAACTTTTTGAATTAAAAATGAGAAGTTTTAATTTTTTTAGCTAAAAAAATTAACAAAAGTAATTCTATTTTGAATTTATTTAATAAAAAATTCTATAAAATCTTCCTCTTTTTAAATATTATTTTTTTTATTTTTTAAATTATCAAAAATAAATTAAATTTATTCTTTTTCTAAAATACTCAATATATCAAAGGTTTTCCTAAAATAATCGAAAATCTTATTTTTTTTATTTTCCATATTTTCTACAAAAACAATACTTTTCTTTTAATCCAAAATCATATTTTGAACTACTTCAGTTATAAATAATTTAAAATTAGAATCTTCAGGTAAATAATAAAAGTTCATATTTAATAAAAAACATATAAAATGGACTAAAATACACCCATATTCTTATTAAAAATCTTCTAAATTTTCTTATTTTTATCCTTTTAATTCTAAAAAGTTATTATTTTCTGTTTATATTTAATAAATTAGTCTTAAACTTTCTTCAAAAAAAAGTATTTGATTTTGAGAAAAATCATCACCATTATTATAACTTAATATTAATTTTTACTTAAAGAAATCAAATATTTCAATTTTGAAAGGATTTGAAATTAAAAACTAATTAATTTAAGTATCAAAATAAAGCTTTAATAAATCAAAAAGGTTTTAAAAAACAGGGTTTTTATTCAATAAATAGTCATATTGGAGAATTTCATTTTCTTAGAATAAACTTTAATCATTTTCTTATTATTTATCTTCTAATTCGTAGTTTTGTTCATCTTCGTCTTCTTCTATTTCAAAAAGTTATTGGGTTTTCTTATTTTCGTTTTATTTTTTTTCTTCTTAGAATATATTTTTATTTATAAATAATAGTTTTTTATCTTTTTCTTCTTAATTTGGTTAATAATCTAATAATTTTTAAATGAAAAATTTTTTAAAATCAGAATTATTTAAAAAATCTTCTTCATTTAAAACAATTTATTTTATTTAATCAAAATAAATTTATTCTGTTAATTAATTTTTCTCTTTTTCAAAAATGTTTTAATTATTTTTTATATTATCATCACTTATTATGTCTGAAATATTGACTATTAAATTATTTTTATTATCCAAATGTTTTTTTTAGTCATTTATTATATTTTCCTAATCCTTAATTATACCTAAATTCTAACTATTCTCTAACTTGTTTTGATTTATTAATTATTAATTCTCATTAATTATTTATTATTCATTTTAATTATTATTTTCATTTAAATCTTATTAATTATTTATAAAAATATTATCATTATTTTTATTTTCTTATTAAGTTTCATTATATTTATATAAATTCAAATTTTTAAATAAAAAATTGAATTTTGTTGTTTGGATAAAAGTAATTTAATTAGAAAAAACAAAAAAAAGTATTTCTTTAATTTATGTTTCGTTTTTCTCTTCGAAATTAAAAAAGTTTAAATTTCTAAAAATTCGGCAAAAAGTTTTTAAATTAAAATTACTTTTTTTATATTTTTCTAAAAAATAAAATTCTTTCTTATAAAAATTTAAACAAAAAGCCATTTTTTATCCCAAATCTTCCAAAAAATTCCAGTCTTTTAAAAATACTTACTACAAATAACTTTTAAAAATATAAAAAGCATCATTTTAATCATAAGAACTTATATTAAAAACCATTAATTTACTTAAATAACTATTTGGAATTTTATTTTCCATAAAAGAATCTTTATCAAATTCTGAAAAATTAAATAGATTACAAAACTATGCGTTTTCAATATTTAAATATCTATTCTTATGATTTGAATACCACCCTTTATGTTCTAAAAGTTATCTTAAGATTCCAAAAACAGAAGGTCCTCTTTTTTTTTTTTTCAATAAAAAAATATAAATTAATTTAATTTTTGTTAAAAAAATTTACTCGTTTTAACACATATTTATATTATCAATAAAAATAATAGCTTTTTTAAAATTTAAAGGAAACAGAGTATTTTAACTTTTCTTTATTAATTTTTTTTCTATTTAATAATTAAATTCTTCTAAGGTCATATTTTTAAAAAGATTAACTAAAATACATTAATATCCTTATTATTTCATAAGATAATACATCTACAATTTTTATTTTTTTATAAAAAAAAAAAAAAATTATTACTTTTTTTTTTGCAAAAGTAGATAACCCGCTTTAAAATAAAGAATTAATGAAAAAAGGCTTTTTATAAGCAATAGCGAAACTAGTAAAATAATTGCAAATTTTGTGTGACAAACTTTCAAAATAGAACTAATTGTAATTTAAAAAATAGTTATTTTCTTAATTATCTTCTATTTTTTAAGAAATAATATCATAACTATCAGGGTTTAATCTAGAAATTATTTTAAATTAATAAATAAATATAAAATACCTAATAATTTCTCTATTATCAATAATATTTTAAACAAAATCATTGGAAATATATGCATTTTCTTAAATTTAAATAATATTCCAAAGAACCCATTAACATCTAGTAAAATCAAAGCAATAATCATGTAAATTATTACTTTAAATTTTGCTAAAAAATTTATTCCCAAAATTATTTTCTTTATAATTATTACCTCCATAAAATTAATTATAAGCATTGATATACTATTATTTTTATTTTTCCAAAAAATTATACAAAAAGGTACTATTTTAACCAAAAAATGTATAAATAAAAGAAAAAAGAAAAACACTTTCAACTTCATGAATAATTTTAAAATCATGTAAATTATTTATTTGATTATTATTATTATTATTATTATTATTATTATTATTATTATTATTATTATTATTATTATTTTCATTAATAGAATCATACCTTTTATTTAATTTTTTTTAATGCATTTTTCTTAAACTACTATTTTTACTTATATTATTTAATTATATATGAATTTAATCATCTTCTTCCTCTTTTTTTTAATTAATATTTGTTTTTTTTTTTTCCTCTATATACAATCCACATGAAATTTATTATTTTCTTAATTCATTTATAAAAATTTCTAAAAAATTCAAAAAATTAAATAACATTTATTTATTATTTATTGGAAAGAAATTATTATCTTATTTAAAAAATGAATAAAAAAGTAAATTTAAGAAATCATATATTTTTCCAAAATAAGAGTTTCCTTTTTTTAAATTATTAATCCAAAATAAAAATTCGATTGAATAATCTCCAAAATCATCCTCATTTATAAAAATCATTTTCTCATTTAAAAAATCAGGCGAGAAATTCTTAAATTTTTCTACTTCGAAAATACAAAAAACCTATTCAGGAATTAAAAAAAGTCCTTCATTATTTTAACTATTAATGTAATTTTTTTAAGTAGTTTTTCTATTAAAATAATTTATTCTTTTTAAATTTATTAAGGAATATCAAATATTATCCAATCATTAATACTTATTTTTTATTTTTTTAAAGAAACATTAGCTGGAAAAGTACAAAATGTCCTTTCTTTAATTAAAAGTTCTTTCAAAATTTAATTTTTCATATTTATTTCTTCATTCATATTGTTTATTATTTATGCCAAAAATCCGTTTTTCCAAACTTTATTTTTTTAATCAATTTTTCCTATTAAATTTTCAGTATATATAGAATCCATTTTTATCCAATTTATATTAAAATTCTCATCTTTTTTTTTAAAAAATAAAATAAAAAATAAATAATTTAATTTTTTTACTTTTTATTTTAGAATATATATATGCTATTAAATTTATTAAAGTAGATTTTTTAGAAGAAGAATTTCCGTAAATTATAAACTTCTCATTTTTTTATACAAAACTAATCATTAATTGTAAATATTTTTCAAATTAAATTTTATAATTTACATCTTTTTCTTACAAACATTTATCAATTATTTCCTAAGTTTCCTTATTTATAATTTAAATTTCTTCGTTTCTTTCAAAAAGGTTACTAAAAATATTTTTTATTACTTCTTTTTTCTAAAAGCCTTCCAAAACGGCAGTTTATAAGCACTAAATAGCCACTTAATCCAACTAATTATTAACCTATTTATGTAAAAAAAGTGCATTTTTCATAATTTTGCATAATTATCTTAATGAAATTTTAATATAAGGATTTCTATTTTAAGAGAATCCTTCATTTTCCCACTAATAATCAATAAAATCAAATATAAAAAGCAATTTTTTCGCTATAGAAGCCTTTTCGTCATTTTTAAATCCCATTAAAAAAAGAAAAGAATTTAATATAATTTCCACATTCACCCCTTCTACACTCAAAATACGAAAGTTTTCCAAAACTCCTTATGGAAATTCAACTGCTTTTCTTTTTTAAAAAAATCCTCCGAAAATCCCTAAATTTTCACTCTAAATATTAAAACTAAATTCCATAAAACTAAAACTCCTAAAACCTTAAAAAACCTTTTTTTTTAAAAAAAAAACATTAAAAATAAAATAAAAAAATTACAGTTTTTCGAATATAAAAAATAATCTAACTTAAAGTACTATAAATTCCTGGAGAAAATAAATGAAAATTTTACAAAAAAAGCCAATATCCACCCTATAAGCAACCTCCAATTAATAAATTAATAATTTCTCCTTATTTTTTTTCAGTATTTTCTCCCGAAAAGTCCCATTCAAAAAATGCTTTTCCCATTAAAATGCTTAAAGATTTACATATTTGATATTTACCTGAACTTTTTTAACCGAATAATACTACTCCTTCCCAGTTTTGAATAGATTGGGCTATTTTTATTAATAGTTAGTCATTATTTACTGAAAATACGTATAAAGGTTATTAAGTGGTTATTTCATAAGAATATTATAGTTTAAAGCTAAATGTTTGGAGAATTACTTAGAATTCTTTTCCATTAAATACTTTTAAAAAATCACTTTTATCAGATATTTTTAATATTTGTTCATAGTTGGGATTTATTTCTATTTCTTGAATTTCATTTAGTGCAATTTGTTATGTTTTTATAATTATATCATTTATATATTATTAATTATTATTTTTCTACATTTCTTAACAATTTATTTCTAGAGAAAACTTTTTTTTTTTTTAGTTCAAAAAAAAAAAATTAAAATATTAAATATATAATATTATTTACTTTAGGTAAAATTAAATATTCAAAAGAATGAATAGAGAACACTTATTTTTCTAAAAAATAATTTAAAATGTCAATATGGTAATTAATTTATAATAAAAACTAACATTAAAGCATATATTATTCTTTAGAAATTAAAACTTTATTAACATTAAACATTTATAAAATAAACTTTTATTGCTAAAGCATTATTTATTACTTAAAAAAGTTTAAATTTTGATATTTTTCGTCATTTTAATCTTAAAATGAAGTAATTAGTAAAGTACTTAAATCATGAAAAAAAATAATATTATTCACAAGAAATAAGACTTAAAATAAAATTAATTTATTTGCAACTAAATTCCACATTTTTATATAATTATAAGAAAATCCAGTTAACATTTTAAAGTAATTTTAAATTTATTTTTGAATACTTTTTTTTGTAAAATTTTCTAAATCTTTAACTAAACTAAATGTTGGAGGTTCTTCGAATTCTTATAGATTATATAAAATTTTATATTCTTCCAAATTTATTACTTCCAAATTTTCATTAAAAACCTTTGTTAATTAATATTAAATTATTTATCCATTGTAATCTACTTTACTTTCTTGTATTTCTGCTTGAATTATTCCAGGAAAAAGCTTTTTGATATTATTAAAAAACTCAGAAGGTGTAAAAATGCAAGAGCATAAATTTAGAATCTAATCTTGATTTAAAAAATAATATCTACCGCATGTATTTCTTATTGGTTTTATTAAAACATCTAAATTATTCTCGATTTTATTTAAAATATTTAATGCTGTTTTAAATCTTTCTTTTTTTAATATATATTTTTAATTTAAATATATAATATATTATATTTTATTTTACATTTAAATTATTCTTAATATGATTTATTATCTTCGTTTTTTATAAAAATATTAATAAAACAAGACATCCCATATTTCCCTAACTCATCAATAATATTAGATATGCTATCTTTAGATCTATTAAATAATAGATTAAATTCTTTTAAATAAAATAGGTTCCTTTTGAATCTAAAAATAGGGTAAAATCTAATTAATTTATCTTATATTTTTTAAATATCTTTCATTACTTTACTTGCATTAGTTATTACATAAAAAATTTCTCCTAATCTAACAAAAAAATCTTCTTTTTAATAATTTTTATTGTTAATCATTTCTTAAATTTCAGATTGTTAATTTATTAAAGTCAAAAGTTATTTTTTTATGTCTTTAATCATAAAAATTCCATAATAATCTACTAAATAATAATTTATATCTTTTAATTAATTTTCAATCTAAAGTATACTTTAATGAATTTTATGTTCTTTTCTTGCAGTCTTTTTTTTTTTTTTTTAAAAATATAAAAAATTATTGTATTAAATATAAAAAATTATTGTTTTGTTTTGTTTTTTGTTGATATAAATATATAAACAGAATTTTTTTTTATTTTATTTTCATAATAAAAAAATAAATAAATACCCTTGAAATTTTTTCTACATAAGCTAAATTACCTAAAATATCATCTTATAGTAAAATTTCTAAAGTTAATTGATTAGAAAGTGCAAGCTAATTTATTTTTTATCTTTTCTCTTCATTTTAAGGATACATAACTTCAAATATTTTCTTTTTTTAAAATAATTAAAAATTTAAGAAAAAATAAAAATATACAATCCAATGTTCTAGTTTAAACGAATCGTCTTGGACTTAAATTAATAAATCAACAACATGTTCGAATTCTTGAATTTAAGAACTTATATGTTCACATATTTAATATAATCCTTTATTATTTTCTTAAAAATATTCTTCTACTTATAATAGTACTTTTTATCCATTTTCTATTAGTTCAGCCATTTCTTTCATATCGCTTTAATTTATGGAATTTGAACTACTAAAAATAAGAGGTTTTTGTAACCAATTTTCTTTTTCTTTTTATTTTAAATATTAAATATTTTATATTTAAATTACATATTTCCATTCACTAACATATTTCCATAATTTGTCATAAAAACTAAAATTATTTATAGTATTATCTATTTATATTTTTTCATAAAATTCATTTTAATATACTATATCTAGATTAATTTATTCATATTCTGCTTCTTGTAATTTTGCTTTAAGATCTTCCAATTAATTCATAATTTTTTCACTATCTGTTGAACATTAAAAAGCTAATTCAATATTATTTATTTATTAAAACACTTTAATTTTTTATCCTAGATTTTATAAATCTTTTATTAATTATTTTTATTTTTCAATATGTATTTTTTAAAATTTAGATTTTTGCTCTTTTTATTTAAATTCTTTAACAACCTATATTTTTATTTTCAAAAAAATAAATATATATATATATATATATATATTTATTTATATTTATAATATACTTTTGCATTTTAAATATTGTTTAATAGATTATTAGTAACAAGGCTTTAACCTAAATATAAAGTAATATCAATAAAATATTCCTCTAATTTTTCTTAAATAATATGAGACATTTAAATATAATTTTCAAAAGCCAATAATTGACATAATATTGTTTATCCGTTCAAATATTAATTCATTTTAATATATTCTCTAATTGTTTAAGGTTCTACATTTAATAAATGTTACATTTCTCCATTTAATTTTTAGATTTCTATTAGGCATTATTCAAACTTTTCTACAAGTTTATTTTAAATAAATGTTATTTATTTATTTATTTCTTAAATTATAGTATTTTTCCATAATTTAATACAAATTACAAAAAATCCCAAATTTACATCTTTTGGTAATGTTTCTTAAATAAACTTCTTATCTTATTTTAATTTTTCTATTTCATCAAATATATTATTTAAATTCTATATTTTTATTTATTTTTTTAAATATTTATTTTTTACATTATTTTTGATTTCATTTAATAAATATTATTCATATTTAATATTATATAGTAAATAAAATTCAAATCTAAATAAAATTAGCATAAAAGCATAAACAGGGAAAAAAATCCAAATTAAGAATTCTTGAACATTTTCTTAAAATTCATTGTTATAATCTTTTATTTCCTTACTTTTAAATAATAATTCTTATTTATCGTCTTTATTTAACTATAAATATTTTAAATTTCCTAAATTTTAAACTGTACTCTCGAACATAGAAACAAAACTTTCCTCAAAATTTTACAAAGGAGGATTAATTTAAGTTATATATAAATTTAAATCAAAAAATTTAAATTTTTAATAGCAAATATTTTTGTTTAATTTGATTTTCTCTAATTCTGAAATTTCTATTTCCAAAAAATTTCTACTTGCAATATCATATATAATATCTTTTAATAGTAAATTTTAAAAATCATATATTTTTCTACGATTTTCATCAAGTATTTTTTCAAAATAAAATTTATTATCACATAAATTTATTTAGTATTATTTTTTTATTTATTTTAAGATTTAAGATTCTGATAAAAAATTTATTTCCAATTTAAAAATTGGCTTAATTCTTAATTATTCAAAAGTTAAATTTTTCAAATTAAATTTTTATTCTATATTTTTAATTAATTATATATGAAAATATATATGTTTATATATATATATTTTACATCCAGTAAAATTACTCATTAATATTTTATATAATGATAAAATAATAATATAATCTTTATATTATTAGGATTAAAGATTCATTTAATTTTAATTTTTTTATTCATCATTTACTATATATTTAATTTCTGTAAAAAAATAATTTTATCTTAATTAATTTATTTTAACTTAATTTTATTTTATTTCATTGTCATTTTATAAATAAATCATATTTTATATATTTTTATATTAATTGTTATTTTATTATTATATTTATTATCTTTTTAATCCAAATTAGGGATATATTTTTTACAAAAGAGCTTCATCCATTCTTTCTAAAGGCAAAATTTCATAATATTATTAAAAAAAACAATACACTTATTTCAAAGATTAATTTAAACATATTTAAATAAAGCTATAAATTAAAAGACTCGAACTTTAAATTTTTTATTTAAAATAATAATAATAAGATTTATTCATTTATATTTTAAATTATACATTATTACACATCTTTATTTTATTTTTTTATATATATTTTCATTCTGTCTAACATTTAAATTCTAAATATATAATTATTTAAAATGATCTTTATCCATTTCATGCAAGGCAGCCTTTTATTTAAATAAATTTTGAATTATAAAAAAGTATTATTTACTATTATTTTATCAAATAATCTTGATATGATTTGAATTTATTTTTAAAATTATTCTTTTAAATCTTATTTTTATTTATTAATAAATAAGTTATATTTTAATTACTGAAAAAAAATAAAAAATAAAAAAAAATACTTTAAATGCTTTGTAAAGTATCTTATTTATAATTTGTACAATCTAACTTTTTTAAATCTTTAAAAATTTTAAAATCGCATAATTCTTTAATAAAATGAGTTATCTTTTTTTATATAAATAAATTAAAACATATTTTATAAAAAAAAGACTAAAAATACCTTAGGTAAAACAATTTTTACAATTTAGTATTTTTAATTTTAAGATAATATCATATCTTTTTTAAAAAAGCTTTTTATGTATTCTACATAAGAATCATTTTAAACATAAATACTTTTACAAATAATAATTTTATTTATTTATTTTTTATCTTATTCTAAATTATTAATATTATTAGAATTTATTTATTAATTTAATTCTGTATAAAATATTTTTTAATCTAATTCATTTTATTAACTTTACTATAATTCTTATTAATTATTAAGTATATTACTATATTCTTTAATTTCATACAAATATAACTTAAAATTTTTATACTTATCAGTGATTCCTTAAATATAGTATTTTTAATAATACTAATATAAGCTTTAAACTTAACTAATTTAATAAACAAATTTAATAACTTCATATTTAAACCATTTCAAAATATCGTTTATTAAAGTCTCTTCATATATTTCAAAAAAGTATTGATTATCATAAATAAAAATACTATTAAACATTATTTAATTTTATAAAAATTAATTATATTAACCTTTATATTATAGCAAGCATTGAACTTTTATGAAAATTAATAATAGTACTTTAATTTTCATCTGCTGATTTTTACATTTATAAAAAATTAATATATTAATTTCTCTTTTGTAAAGCTTTTTGATATCTTAAATTTCCTTATTCTTAACTTTCAAACTCATATAATAAATTTATTTTACTAACCTTAAATATTTATATAATAGTTTTCATTAACTAAAGTTTTTTTTACATATTTGGTATTTTTACTCATTTACCATTAAATAAGAAACTTTTACTTTTATGAATCATAATTAATAATTTGACATTGTTTCCATTAAATTTTTCCACTTAAATCAATCCATTTAGAATAACCTAAAACTGGTCCTTTTTCTAACATTTTTAAAGGATTTTCATCATTTACATTGCATTCATCAAAAAAATCAAGAGAATAAACCTTTTTTATTTATTAAAATATTTAATATATATGTAATATTTTACTTATATTTAAGAAAGTGAAGGCATTTTTATAAGATAAGAGTCTTTATTTTGATAATAATTGACTTGGTTTATTTAACCTTACAATTTTTATTTGACTTTATTTTTATTAAACTAAAGCCCTGATTTACTTATATTATATAATGTATTTTGTCGATAAGAAGACGAAGGTTATTTATTTAAATCTTATTATATTCTTTCTGAATTATAAAGCAAATTATGAATTCTATGATTTTTAATGATATTTTTGGGTAATTAATTTATGTTTGGAAGTTTTAGAAAAGATTATGTTTTTAGAAGTTTCTCTTCTTTATGTTTTTTTGTTTATTCAAAATATATTTTATTTACTTCTAGAGGCTATTATTATTATTATTAATATATATTAGAAATAACTTTATTTGCATTTAATTTTAGAATCACATTTGTATCTTATCTATTAAAATTATTCTCATATTAGCCATTATAAATACTTAAACAAGCTTAAGAAGCAGAATATTTATTTCTATTAATCTTTTTTCAAGAAATTAATATTTTTATGGTTAATTTTATAATATTTTTTAAAATAAAATACTTTATATGATGATTTTATTGAAGGATATTTTTGCCTTAATAGTTAAATGGCATTAATTGTTTCAATTGTTTAATCTGGAATATTTTCAAAGGTATTTTATAAATTAACATTTTAATGTAATAGAGGAGTTGAATTATTTCTTATATTTAAATTGCTTTAAATGTTTTATTTTTATAATTTATTTTAATTATTCATTTTTTTATTTAATAATCTATATTTTAAATATATAAAAAAATATATTTTAGTTTTTCTAATATTTTTTAAAAAAGTTAATATCATTTTTTATAGCTTAAAAATAAAAAAACTTTTTAAAAAAAAAACATATAAACGCTATTATTTATTTAATGATGCCATTATTTCTAACATTAACATTAACATAATAATAATTTAATCATTTTGTTTTTTTAAAAAAAATTGTCTTTAAAAATTGATTTTCTATATTATTAAAAAATATTATAATATATTATAAAAAAAAGATATAAAACTTTATTTTTTATAAAAAATCATTAACATTTAAATCCTTATTTTATTTAATTATCAAATTATAAAAAAATAAAGCTAATAACTTTTATATAAAGTTATAATAATAAATAAATAAAAATGTTAGAAAATTTAAATATAATTTGTTTTTATAACAATTATAATAAAAATATTATTATTATAAAATATATATATTATATTATTACATATTTATTTATAATATTTTAGAAATATAAAAATAAGAATTTTTAAAAAATGTTATTTGTTTATATTATATTAATTTATTAAAAATAAAAATTAAGCTTATGTTAACTTATTAATATACATTTTAAATAAAAATAAATATAATTAATACTTTGAATAAAAAAGTATATCATATTTACAAATATAAGATTTTATTTTTATAAATAAAAAAAAAAATTCCAAAATAATTTTTTTTTTTTTCATATTAACAAATATTTCAAATAGAAAATAAATAAAAAATGTTTTTAGCTTTTTAGTCTTACAAATATTTTAGATAATAAATTAGCCAAATGTAAAAAAAATCAAGAAAATAACTTTGGAAAGCTTTAGAAGAATATGAACGAAAAATTCTTTCAAAGACACATTTGAGGTAACTTCTTTAAGACAATAATAGAAATGAGGTAAAAAATAAAAATATAAATTAATAAATAAACAAACAAATAAAAAGCAATTAGTATTTGAATATAATAACATAATACTTGATTTAACACATGAAAAAATAGACATTTAAGTAATTAGATTTATTTTAATAATTAGCTCTAGATTCAGGAATCTACTAAAGTATATAAAAAATGTTCAATGGTAGTAAAATAATTAAAAAATAAACAAAAAACGAAAAACAAAATAAAGGAAAAAATAAACTGTACAGAAAAAAGAAGCAGTTCTCCATACTGCTTTAGGAGCCTAATAAGGTTAAAATATATAATTTGAAGGTAAAAACGTTAGTCGAAGATGTCCATTAAGTACTTAATAACATAATGAAATTTACAGAGGAGCTTAGATCAAGTGTGTTAAAAGGATTAACAGGAAAATCTATAAAAAATCTAGTTATTATAGGAATAGGTGGTTCTTATCTTTCAATTGAATTTGTTTATGAAGCCCTTCGTTCTCATCCAGAAGCTTAAAAAAGATCAAATGGAAGAAAACTTAGGTTTATTTTGTTTTTTTTCAAACAAACAAAAATAAAGTTAATTTATTATTGAATAAAATAGATTCCTAGCAAATGTTGATCCTATAGATTTTGCAAGAGCAATAGAAGATTTAAATCCTGAGGAAACAATGTTCGTTATAAACTCAAAAACATTCACTACTGCAGAAACAATGTTAAATGCCAGAACATGTAGAAATTGGTTAGTTGAACATCACATAAAATTAGGTTTTTTTAATATAACTATAAATAAAAATGATCAAATAAAAATAAAGGTAAAAGTTTATAAACAGAAGAAGAAATAAAAAATCTTGTAAATCATCATATGTGTGCTGCATCTACAAATCTTACTGACACATTTAAATTCGGAATAGGTTCTGATAAAGTTTTCGGATTTTGGGATTGGGTAGGAGGTAGATATTCAGTATGGAGTGCAATTGGAATGCTACCTTTATCATTTGTTTTCGGTTTTGATTATATGGAAAGTTTTTTAAAAGGAGCTCATAATATTGATGAGAATTTTTCTTAAGTAAAAAATGTAAAAGGAAATTTATCTTTACTTCTTGGAATGGTAGGATTTTATAATACTACGATTAAAGATTTTAATTCGAGAGCTATTTTACCTTATTGTTAGGCTTTGTGTAAATTTGTTCCCCATGTATAATAATTGGATATGGAATCAAATGGAAAAAGAGTGAATTTGAAAGGAGAAAATTTAGATTATTAAACCACTGTAGTTAATTTTGGAGAACCTGGAACAAATGGTTATTTTTTATTTTTTTCATTTAAAAAGCAATAATTAATTTTTAGGACAACATAGTTTTTATTAATTATTACATTAAGGTAGAACTATTCCTTGTGAATTTATTGGCTTTTGCAAATCTTAGAATCCTATTTAACTTTAAGGTGAATCAGTAAGTAATCATGAAGAACTTATGAGCAATTTCTTTTCTTAAGTATTTTTTTTTTTTTTTGTAAATATTTAAGTTTTTTTTTTTCAAATAATATAAAAGCCTGATGCATTAGCTTGTGGAAAGATATTAGATGAATTAAAAGATGAAAAAGTGCACGAAGAACTTTTAGGTCATAAATTGTTCCCAGGAGATAAGCCTTCACTATCTTTATTATTTACAGAATTAAATCCTTATACTTGTGGATAATTATTAGCTTTATACGAACATAGAACAGCAGTTGAAGGTATTTTTTTATATTATTTATTGTAATAAAATCAATAAAAAAAGGATTTTTATGGGATATAAATAGTTTTGATTAATGGGGTGTAGAGTTAGGAAAAGTATTAGCAAAATAAGTAAGAAACCTTTTCTAAAATAATAAAGGGAGAACACATGATATCAATTATACAGGAACTAATTTAAATTCTGCAACAAGACATTTATTAGATCTGTTTTTCTTAAAATAATAATGAAAAATAAAAAAAAAAATTAAATAAAAAATATAAAATTATTAAAAAAAAAAAACAAAATAATAAAAATTAATTTATATAAAGAAATTTAAAATCAACTTTTTTTTAATTTAAATCCTTTAAAATCACTTGAATTTTTTTAATTAGATCTTTTTTAATCAATCGGACTACAAACGTCTTAAAACGGAATTTTATTCTCATAAAATTTTTCAGGAATCTCATCTAAAAGATCTCTACTAATATTAAGTTTAGATTAGGTATTTTTAAAATTAAAATTTAATTAAAGTTCTTAATATCTGAATTACTATTAAAATAATTACTCTCGTTATTCGCAAATTGAATATTATTTAAATTATTATTAGAAAAGCTATTTTAATTTATATTTTATTATTAAGTTCCAGACCCATTTTAATTTTCTATTAAAGCAAAGCTTTATATATTTTAATTAGATTATTATTGCGATTTTTTTTATTATTTTGCTAAAAGGTTACTTTTTCCTAATACTAAATTTTTATTACTTATCTTTTTAGAAGAAGGTGTATTCAAAATTTACGATTTTAGCATAGATTTAGATTTTTTTTAGATTTTATTCTAAAATTATTATTATTAATCATTTAAACATAAAGCATTATCTAAATTTGTTTCAATCATATTGTTTTTTAAATTAAACTCATTATCTTCTAAATTTTTATACTTTTTGTTCGAAAAAATATCCTCGTTCATTCTTTGCATTTTTATTAATTAATTAATGCTTTTTCTGAATAATTCTTAGAAGTTTTTTTATTAAATAATACCATTTTTTAATAAAGCTTCTTCTTCTCTTTCCAATCTTAAAAATTAATTTAGAATAAACAAAGGATTATTAATATTTATTTTTTGACAAAAAACTTATAAGTTTTCTAAACTGAGATTGTTGATAAAATTACCATTTCTTCCTATATTATTATTAGCCATATATTCTTCTATTTATTAATTCAGGCTATTCATTTTATTTAATTATATTATTTAGACTATTTTTTATAAATACAAACTTACTGATTATTTCAAATAAACTGATTATTCCTTTATTTTATCTATAAGTAGGTTGATAAATCTTTCTCTTTCCAAAATATTTTATATGAATAAAAAATCTATTACCTCTTCAATTTTAATTTCTAGAATATTTATTTAAATAAAGGAGTTTTTTTCTAATTAAAAACTTCTTTCTTATTTATTTTAATCCTATTATAATGTTTAATTCAAACTATAGTTTTAAGGCTATGTTTACAAAAGAAATTTATAAATACTTTTTATAACCCTTAGAATTTGTAAATCAGGCATTTCATAGTTAAATAAACCGAATATAACTACAAAAAAATTAGCTAAAGGTTAACTTTACATATTATTTTTTAAATATTCAATAATATTAACTAATTATTAACTTACATTAAAAAAGTTTTGTTATAATTCTTTTAATAAAAATTAAATTAAGAATTCACAACTATTTAAATTATTAGAACTTTGACAAAATTCATTCCAAAATTTTATTAATATACTTTTACAGTTATATATTTCTAATTCTATTTTTTTAAATTTTTGTTTTTGTTTTTTTTTTATAAATTACCTTTTAAATCTCCATAATAATACAAATAGGAAAGACAAATATTAAATGGGTGTTCACCTAGAATTCTAAATAAAATTTTTTAGAAAAAATTAATATTTTATATTTTACTTTAAAATATTCATATCATGACATTAATAAAAATTATGTTTTTAACAATAAAATTCTGACTACATTATTTCTTTTTTTGCAATATCAAGTATAGTATTAGAAACCTAAATAATTTATTATTACGCCTTAATTTATACTTTATAACTTTTATTTTCTTCTTTCTATATTAGATTTCTTAAATTATCGGTAGCTTTAGCTAACTTTTTGTAAAATATTTGATTGTTTAAAATATATATATGAATACGTTTTCCAGTTATTAAGGAGGATTATCTAAATTATAACATTCTTTTAAATTAATTTTCATTTCTTCAATATTCTAATTTAATGAGTTGATTTTTTCTTTCAATACATATTTTTCTTACTCTTATTAAATTTTATAATCTCTATTTTATTTTTTAAGGTTAATTATTTCATCCTTTTTTTTATAAAAAAACAAATGATACATTTTTAATATATTTTTATTTTCATACTTTTAATAATGTAACAGTGTTTTATAATTCTTCAACTTCTTATTTTTTTTCCTTATGAGTTATATTAATTAAATTTTTAAGTTTATATTTTATTTTAGTTTATATTTAATCAAGAAGATAAACAATAAAATTATAAAAAACTTCTATTAAAATGCTCAAATTAATATTAAAACTTTAAGTTTATCTAATAAGAGAAGGAAGATATTCATTAAAAATTTACAATGTTTAGTTTACTAATTAAAATGAAAAACTTTTTTTACTTTCTTAATAAATATTCTAATCCAATTAGTTAATAAAACTAAATAAAAAAATCATTGTTTATTCACTAATTATTTATTATTAATTTTCTTCTTGTTAATTCATAGCTTTTTAATTAGATATATTTGTTGATTTTAAGGAAAGTTTAATCTTTTTTTGTTAAAAAATAAAAATATATTAATAATATTATAATTAAAACATTTTAAGGAATATTTTTTAAGTTATCTATTATTTGTAAATTATCTGTATATAATTTATTATTTTATAAAAAATATTTGAATTATTAATCATCTTTAGATTAGGGTTTATTTATATTAAAATTAAAGCAATCTATTTATGTTTGGGCTCTTTAAAATCTTTATTTAATTGTTTTTTTTTAAATTTAATCTATATTTTATATGGTTTATTGCTTTTTTATAAAAATATTTCTAATTGTATTTATTTTCCAATCATTTAGTTTTAATTTCTTTTCACTTGATAAAGATTTCATTTTATTTATTTTTTTAAAAAATATAATTTTATTATTAAATAAAATAAAAATAATAAATAATTTTTTTAATATATTATTATAAAAAAGAGATGCAAAAATTTATTTTTATATTTTAAAAACATATCTCATATAATATTATTCGATTGTTTTGGATATTATTAAGGATTTTAAAATTTCTAATTAATATATTATTATTAATAGTATCCATTTTATTATTTATTTTATTCATTATTAACTATTTATTATCCTCTTTATTATCTTTAAAATTATAAATAATCATTGTCATTTGCAAGTATCTATATTCCAAATTTAGATTATTATTATTGTTATTATTTATTCATGTTTTACAAATCATTTACTTTATTATCTTATTTTTATAAAAATTGAGTTTATTTAAGTGCTAACTATTATTATTATATTTATTAGTATTATTAAACTTATTACTATTAATAGATTTATTATTATTAATTTAAAATCTATTTTTATTATTATTATAACTATTAATTATCATATCCGACATTATATTATTATAATTGAAATTATTACTATTATTATTAAGCAACAGCCAATTACTAATAAGTTTATTCATTTTAAGGACTAGGCTGGACAATTTCAATTTATTAAATGGACTATTATTAATTAAAACCATTATTATCTTACCAAACCTATAAAGGAGAAAATAAGGCACTTTCATTAGAATTATCAATCGCAACAGAATTCTAATTCTAATTATAATTACTTGATTACTAAATTAAATATTATTCAAAAGCACATAATTTTTTAATAAACCCAACATTAGGATTTACAATTCTTCTAGATTTTTTCAAATGCCAAAGCGCTTTTTCCAAATTCCATTTTTTTGTTTTCATTAAATAAGCAATACATATTGAAGCGCTTCTCGATACTCCAGCAAAACAATGAACTAAAACATTTGTATATTTCCTATGTCTATCAATAAACTCTATTCCGTTTTCAAAGTGCAATGTAATATCATATCCTACTTTATCATGTGCTGGTAAAGCTAATTTAAATAATATAATTAAAAATTAAATTATATTGATTTAAATAAATAAATAAATAAATAAAAATATGAATATAAATATATAATAATATATATATATATATATATATATTTATTTTTACATTCATGAAAATGTATTGCTTCCTCCGCATATCTGAATCCAGTTTCAATTGAAGTAGTCAACACAGCCCTTATTTTATGTTTTTTCAAAATATCAGTATCTAATGCTGCATCTAAATTTCCTAAATATAATCCTCCTAATTCTTCATCTTCTTGTATAATGCAATCAAGAGGTGCTGGTTATATTAATTAAGGAACTGAATAAATAAAATAATGCTATTATTATTTATTTTCTTTAAATTTGTTGGTAATGTTTAAGTTTATGTTCTCATTTATTATATTATTATTATTTTTTTTAGTTTTATTTTAGATATGTTTTTGTGTTTAGTTTTATGGTGTTTTGGTATCTAATTATTGTTCTTAGTATGTGTTTTAAGATTATTTTTGTTGGCTATGCTAATTGTATATTTAATCTGTACTTTTTAGTGCAAATTAAGAAGAAGGATTTAAATTAGTCTATATATGTAATTATTTATCATAATTATTTGTACATTATTTTTGGTTAAATTTTTGCTATATTGGATATTCCGAATGCATATATATTTTTAATTTTTCAGTATTATTTTAAATTTTTTAAAAAATTATTACTTTTTTTATTTTATTACTTTTTTTATACATATATTTTTTTTTATCAATTTTATTATATTTTAACTTTTTAAAAAATTTTTAAATTTTTAATTTTTTTTTTAAAATAAAAGTAATTGTGATTTATAATTTTTTAATTATTAAAAATAATAAATTAAGAATAAAAAAATATGAATTTTATAATTACTAACAATATTTAATTAAATAGAAAATCATATGATAATAATATTATATATATAAATTAAAAATTATAAAGTCATTCAAATTTTTCATTATTATTAATTTATAATTTTCTTCTAAAGCAAATTTAATTATAAATTCCACTTTTATTACCAATCAAAATAAAAAGGCTAACACTCTATTAAAACTAAAACAAATTTTCGCAAAAAACTACAAATTAATTCTACAATTAAGGTAAAACCAAATAAGAAGTATAGAATAAAAGTGGGAAAAATAAAAAATAAACAATTCCTTAAATTGAAATTTTATCCAAAAATTATATTGCTCTTAATTTAGCAGTTTATTTAGTACTCTTAAGTCCATTAATGAAAATAATTAGCATAATAAGTTTAAAACCAGAAATAATATATCCAATATATCCATCATATTAATGATTTTTATAACTCATTCCATCTGTTAATTTTGATAATCCTACGAAAATAATATTCAAAATTCCAAACATTACCTAAAAAAATAAAATAAATTATTTAAAAAAAAATATATTAAAAAAGTAAAATACTCCAATAATAACATAAACATCTAAATCATCTCCAACTTAATAACTTATAGTCCATCCCCAAGCTAACAAAAGTAACAATATTGCCATTGCAAATTAAGTAATTACTTAAGAAAAAGCAGAAAATATTTAAAGTACAACAATCCCTTCACCATCTTATTTTAAAATATAAAGATGAATATATTCTAAAAAAGAACTTAAGAATTAGAAAAAAACAGATAAACTTAAATAAAATAGAGCCCAATCAAAGCCTAAGTCTTTATCTTGTTTTGCGAATAAATATTTTAAATTTACAACTAAAAATAATAAAGTTATTAACATTATACCCAAATGAATGTATTAAAGTCCAAATTCTTCATATGAAAGATGATTCATTCCTTCATTTAACATTACTATTTCAAACTAATGTATATATAATTAATTTTATTTATATTATTTATATATATATTTATATATTAAATAATTATTTTTATATATATTTTAAATATATTGTAAATTTATTAATATATTTTTTTTTAAATTCATATATCTATAATTATTTTATTTTACTAAAACTCTTAATCCTCTTGGATCTTTTTTTAATATAATTTCATCACAATCTTACATATTATAATACCAAATATGGCTTTATTTTTTAAAAAATAAATTTATATATAAAATATAATAAAACCTTTATTCTCTTTCTAATATAGTTCCAACAATATATTTGCTCCAATTATTTCCATTGATAGGTATTTCTAGAGTTTCATGATAACTAGAAAGTTAACGTTTTTCTTTACAAGAGATTGCGCTTTCTAATTCTCCCCAATTAGTATCTTGAACAATGCTGATACTTAAAGCAATTGTTTCATCATCTTATGCTTAATAATCTAATGGTTAATTAAACTTGGCTCTTATTTTATAGGTTGTAATTCCAATATCTGAAGTAAACTTAGTCAAATATTTGAAATGATTTTCCTTTTTGAAGTGATTATAAATTATGTTTTATTCTACTGTACGAGTGTAGCATGTATGTAAAAAATTAAAATAACTAATATTAATATTGATTTTCTCATTTTTACTTTTTATTTGATTTTTTAATAAATAGTCTATTTTTATTTATCTTTGTTATTTCTTTTTTTAATATATAATATAGCTTTAATAAATATTTTATTAAAAAGTGAATTAACATGTATTATTTATAAATTACATATATCTCTAAATTTTTTTAAATCAAAAATTATAAATAGAATATATTTTTTTTTTAAATAATTATAAAAAAAACAAATTCAAAAAATTAATTATTAATTTTTTTTAATAATAATTAAAAATTATTATAAGGTTGTTATATTGTTATATTTATTTACTTTTTGCTTTTTTAAAATATTTATTTTATATATATATATGTATAAAAAAAATCAATTTTCATTATTATCTTCATATTAAAGCTAAAGTTGAAAATTTAAATTATAGTTAATTAGATTAATTATTTTTGTAAAAATTTATTAAAATTTTTATATTTTTTCATTTTTTTCACTATTTTATAAATTATTTTCGTATTTTAGATATTTTTAGAAATATCTTTTTATTTTTTTCTTTCTTAATTTATAATTAGTTATTATTTTATAATAATACTTTATTCACATCTAATTTATGAATCTCAAATCATATTCACTATTACAAGTATTTTCTAAATTTTATTTATTTATTTATCTATGTTTCTTTTTGATTCATTGATTAAATATTCGTATTATTATTATTATTATTATAATTATTATTATTATTTTTGTTATAAATATTTTATCTTTATTTTCTTATGATTATTTTTTTTCAATTATATAAGTTCTTGTTTTTTTGTTTATTGACATAGTTTTATTATTTATTAGTAGTATCAGAATATTCTTATTTTGTTAAGATGATGAACTTTTTGAATTTATTTTTATTGCTATTCTTTTTAATATTTAACATGTATAAACTATAAAATATATATAACTAAATAAATTGTTTAATTATGAAAGTTATAAAAAAATAGATATATTATTTTAATAATTGTATTTAATATTTATTTGACATTTTAATAATTTTTTAGAAATTTATATATTTAAATAAAAGATTTGTTTCTACTTTTAAGAATGAAAGAAAGAAATAAAGAAATAAAGATATAAATATATATAAATTATTAAAAATTAATTTATATATCTATATTATTAGTGTATATATATTCTTTGTTGAAAAAGGTTATAAATATAAATTAAATGATTTAATTTTGCTTATAAATAATTTAATATTACTAAAATATTTTTCTATATTAAATAAAAATTATAATTATTTCTTATTATTTTAAATATATATTATTGATTATTAATAAATAAAATAAATATAAAAATAATATTATATACATATAAATATTATATATTTATATTTTTTTTTTTATATTTTTATATATATATACATATATATATATATTTATTTTTAAAAATAGTTTTTTTTTAATTTAATTTTATTTTAATAAATTTCTTACTTTTATTTTCATAATCTTATCTATTTTTCAATTTATATTTTAACGCTTTCATATACAAAGAAACTTCCTGCATTTACAGGCACAGCTCTTAAATTAGTAACACCAAATCCTCTAAAAAGTTATTTAATTCCTTATGTTTTTATAGTTTTTTAAAAGCAATCTAAACTTCCTTTATATTTACCTCCAATAAAACTATCAGTTTAAATTTTAGATTTAACAGTATCAACAGGATATATAATAGACCAATATCCAATTCCTGCTAATGCACCTGAAAACAAAGGAGCTAATTAATACACAATACTTGATTTTTCATATTTTGCTTAAAAGTATCTTATCATCCAATTATAAACTCCAAAATAAATAAACATGGCAGGAGTTTCTCTTAAAATAGTTATAAATAATCCTTTATAAATTCCTTTTAATCCATATTACATATATATATGTTTAAAAGCATTTATTGCGCTTGTACTTTTTCCTTCCTTTATTACTTACAATCTAATTCTTATGTGCTCCATAGGGGCTAATACACTACAAGATACTAAACCACAAATTCCTCCTGAAATCGCCATTTGGTATATAGGAAGATTTTATAGATTTTATTTTTATTTAAAAAGATTCACAACATGTGAAAAAACCCCAAATTAAATTGCAACTACACCACTCAAACATATTAAAGGAGAACCAATACCTATATTTTATATATTTAATATATACTTACTTTTTAAGTTTTACCTTTGTATAATGCTAAAGGACCTTCATTTTAAATTAAATTTTTTAAGCATTCTATAGGAGATACTTTTATTAATGAACTTTAGAGACGAACTTTTATTGTGTCAAAAGGTTATCCTATTAAAGCTTAAACGAATCCTTTGTATTTTAATTGTTTTATTTTTAAGAATTTTTTTATATTTACCTCCAAAATATCCTGCGATATAATTTCTTTATTAATAAATAAAAGATTATTGATCTAAATAAACTAGCTTATCTTTTTTTAATTAAGTTGAGGTCATTTTTTTTTATTATTATTATTTTTTTAAGTTGTAAATATTTTTAATTTATATGTTTGTAATATGATTTTGCAATTTATTTTGAAAAAAAAAAAAAAACTAATCAAAAAATATTTATTTTTTTTGATAATATTTTTCTAAATATTTGAATTATTTAGAAATAGACAATATTTATATAATGAATTTTAATAATTAATCATTATTAATATATATAATATTACGATATATTTATATAATATTTAATAAATCATGACGAAACTTATATATAGAAAGTAAATACAAGAATTTTTTTATTTATTTTGTAAAAATAATATATAAATTAAAGAATAAAATACTTTTAAAATTATTCTATTATTAAAAAAAAATAGAAAAATTATAAAATTGTTTATGTAAATAGAAAAATAATATTAAATATTTTTTATTTATTATATAATATATATTATTATTAATAAATTAAATATGGATTTAAAATTTTGAAATTTTAACAAATTTATTTTATAATTTAAATAAAGAATATATTATTAAAATTAAAAATAATATTTATAAAATAAATATGTAATTAACATGTTAAATATATCATAATATATATTTTGTTTTGAATTAATAGTCAATATAAACAATATTTATTTTTTATATATTTGCGTTAAATAAAATTTAAACAATTTTATTTTTAAAATATTTAATTTTTATATATATTATTTAATTTTCCTTTTAAAAATATTATTTTATTTATATAAAATAGATAAAAATACATAATTCTTTAACGATCTTTTAAATAAAAATTAAACATAATAAGTTTTTTTATTTGTTTCTTAAATTAAAAAAAAAAATTGATATTTTAAAATAATTATTAAATATAAAAGATAGATATATTTTCTATTTAAAAAATAAAATAATATAAATACAAATATAAAAACAAATAATATATATAAATTTATTTATATTATTAGTTTTTCATAAAAAACAAAAATTTAAATATTATATATTTATAAATTTTTATACATAATTAAAATATAAAAAAAAAAATTCCATATTTTTTTGTTAAAATTATTAATTTCTCAATAAGTAATATAATATTTTTTTTATTATTTAAAAGCTTAACTCTCAAGTTAAATTACAATTGAATTTTTAATTTTATAATTATCATAATGAGGAATATCTTTTCTATCTGTATAAAATCCCTATGGTGCTAATCTTTTAGAATCCACAGGAATATTTTCTTGTACACTGTTATGAAGATAATATACAATAATATTAGATGGTAAATCTTAATTTTAATTTTTTTTAATTTTCGATATAATAGCAGAACACCAAATATGATTCCATTCATCTCTAACGTCTATTTTTTAACCAATTTCGAATTTATTTACTTTCCTATTTTGTTTCCATTTTAAATATTCATATTTTCTATTTTAATATATTTCTAATGCATCTTTTTAATGCTTTTCGATATATTCCAAAATTATATTGTCAAGTAAAAAACATTATCTGTATTCTTAATTTCTTTATTATGTTTTGAAAAAAGCTTATTTTAATTCAAAAGGAATATAAAAAAATTACCTTAAGTTTTATTTACAAATCAAGCACTAATCGAATAATAATTCATATTCTATATAACACTATTCACAAAAAGTATGCCCGCATTTAATTGAAACACTTCCGCATATAAAATCAAGACATATAGGGCAAAAAAAATCTTTATTTTCATGAACTATTTCGTGAACTTTTTATTTTTTTTTATAATATTTTGATTTTCTTATAATTTTTGTTTTTTCCATTTATTTAAATTTTGTTTCCAAAAATAAAAATAATATAAGAAAAAATTAATTTTTAAAAAATAAATGAAAATATATATATATTAAAGCTAAAAAAACATAAAATTACAAAGCATAAAGACTTTTTGAAAAAAAAAATATTTTAATAATTTAAAAAAAAAATTAAAATTATATTATCATTTAAGTAATTAAGAAAAATCAAAATAAATATATTCACAAAATTTTAGCTTAATTTAGTCGTAAGCGAAATCTTACTTAAGAACAATATTTTTATGAAAGCAACTAACTTATTATATTAATTCTTCCATTTCTTCATATTTATGTAATATATCCATATATTTAACTTTTCCAACTTAACTATTCCACATTTTGTTATCCATATTGGAGGCAATAAAACAACTACAGCAAGCTAACAAACTTGGCTAAATAAAAATTGAACTCCAAGAGTAATCAAAATGCATAATATTTAAAATAAATAAACCCTAATTAATTTTTTTATTTTATTTTTTATTTTTTTTAAGAAAATAAAATAATTAAAATAAAATAAAACCTAACATTCTTAATATTTATCAAAATCCAAAATTTAAATATATCTAGAAAAAAACATAAGAGAAGTTGGAAAAGAAAAATTGAACTAAAGGGTTTAACAAATATCAATTTCAATTTAAATTATTTCCTAAATTTAAAATTCATATTAAAAGAACTTCAATAAATCAACAATTTAGAAATCAAAAATTTATTCAAATTTAATACCTATATTCAAGCATGCTACTACAGCTTTTTAATAATTAACTTAATCATCATTAAAGCAAAAATATATGAAAAAATCGAATATATGTACAGTTAAAAAATATGTTTATTCCTTCAATTAAACTTTTTTACATACATTTAGTAAGTTGTTTATTATTTTATTCCTATTTTAGTATATTGTAAGCATCTTTTTTCTTATAAAACTAAATTCTGTTAAATGAAATTATTCTTATAATATTTTTTAAAATATATATTTTATATGTTTCTTTACTTATTAATCTTTCAAAAAATTATATATTCTTTCTGAATAATGTGAGCATTGGAATTAATCATTTATTTTTTAAACATCAAAAATACTCAACTTGTCATATAAGCATTTAGTTAATATGAACTAATTTTAATTCTATAGTTATATACTTATTTATTAATTAGAAATAATATTTTATTATTTTATGGAAGCAAGAACTTCTTTATTTGAATTTTTTGACTTCTGAATTTAATAAATATTGTTTATATTTAAAAAAAATTAAAATATTAACCTCAATAGATTAAACCTTTTATTTAAAGTTTTACATTTATTCTATATTAAGTGTTTATGTAATGTCATCTCCGAATTTTCTTTTTTTATTTTTTTGGTTTTTGGTATTATAATTTTAAGGAAATGAATATCTTTTTTGCTTTTTTAAATTTTAATATAAACGTATAAATTTTTTTATATGTATACCATTTTTTATTTTATATTATTTTTTTATTGTTATTTTTATTAAATTTATTAATATTATTTAGCCGCAATTTATTGTTTGTTTATTTTATTTTTAATAAATATAAGGAAAAAGAAATATAATTAGATTCAAAATATATTAATTATTTTTGTAAAAAAAAAAAATGGGACACACTAAAAAAGTGTGTTTTTTTTTTTTTTAGAAATATAAAAATAAATAACAAATTTAAATTAAATTATTTAAGATATTTAATTTTAAAAATTAAAAAATTAAAATTTATAAGCAATTTCTTTTATTATTATTATTTCTATTAAAATAGATAATTTGTATATTAAAAAGAGTTTTCTATTTTTTCTTTAAATATGAATCATATAATACTTTATTTAAATATTATTTTAAAAATGTTATTATATTAATGAAAAAAAAAATTTGCAAAATTATTATTTTAACTTTAATTTAATTTTTATTCTTTTTTTATATATTTAAATTTTGATAACTATCTTTTTATTTTTTGTAATTATTTTCTTAATTTATTTTTATTTTTATTTTTCTATACTCACCTTTACTAAAGAATATTGTTTTTATTAATTAACATATATTTTTTATTTTTTTTTCTAAATTAACGGAATATTTTTATTTTATAAACAACAAACGATACATTTAATTATATAAAAAAAAATAGATATAGATTATTATAAGTTAAAAAAAAATCAGCTAAAATATTTTTTTTAAAAAAAACTATATTAAAATACAAAAAAAAAAAAAAATACAAAAAAAAAATTTTTTTTTAAAATTTAAAAAGATAAGAAGAAAATATAATTATATAAAAAAAATAAAAATAAAAAAAAAATTAAAAAACAAAAAAATGTCTTTATTTAAAGAAGAAGCAATACCTTTAATCTAATACAACTCTTAAACAAAAAGTAAAATTAAAAAAAGTTCAATCCAATAATCTTAGACTAATATTTATATATAAAAAAAAGAATATAACATAAACGAATAAACAATTTAAATAATAAAATAAATTCCAAAGCCCATAGGAGTAATTTCAGTAGCAGGAGCCTACAGAACTGGTAAATCGTATCTTTTAAACCGTTTACTATTGAATAAAAGTGGTGGATTTGGAGTAGGACCAACAGTAAATCCTTGTACAAAAGTAAATATAAAAAATCTTAAATAAAATATATATATATATATATATATAATAATAATTAAAATAAAATTTTTAAAGGGAATTTGGGTATGGGGATCACCTATTAAAGGATAAACATCAGATGGAGAATCAATAAATATTTTAGTAATGGACTCTGAAGGAATAGGTTCTACAGAAGAAGATATAACTCATGATACAAGAATATTTTCTTTAGCAATATTATTGTCATCTACATTTATTTATAATTCAATGAGTTCTATTGATGTAAAAAATATATTTATAATAAATTTATTATATTAAAAAAAATAAAAATAGGAAAATGCTATAAGTAATTTATCGTTTGTTACTAATTTAACAAAAAACATACATATTAAATCAACTGAAAATTAACAAATAGATTAAGAAGGTAACTTTATAAAATATTTTAAAAAATAAACAATATATTAGATTATGCTAAATATTTTCCTAATTTCTTTTGGGTAATAAGAGATTTTTCATTATAATTAATAGACTAGGATGGGGATTAGATGACTCCTAGCTAATATTTAGAAAGAGCTTTATAAGAGCAAAAAGGATTTTCAGATGATATAGAAACTAAAAATAGAACAAGAAGACTTTTATGTACTTTTTTTTAAAATAGGGAATGTATAACATTAGTAAGACCCCTATTAAGTGAATCTAATTTATAAAAATTGGATAAAATGAGCTTAGATTAATTAAGGCCTGAATTTTTCGAATAAGTAATTTAATTCAGAAAGAAAGTATTACAAAAAATGAAACCGAAAATGTTAAATGGAAAACTTTTAAATGGAGAAATGTTAACTAGTTTATGCGAAAATTATGTCCAAGCAATTAATAATGGAGCAGTTCCTAATATAGAAAATGCATGGAGTTATATTTGTAAAGATGAATGTTAAAAAGCTACTTTAAATTCTTTTGAAATTTATGAAAAATTTTTAAGAGATAATTTATTTAATAAAATGCCAACCACAACAGATGAAATTAAAGTATAAATTAAATTTATTTTTGTTTTTATTTTATTTTTTTCTTATTTTTTTATAGTATTTTCATAAATAAGGGAAAAATTTGGCTATGGAAAATTTAAAAAATAAAGCTATAGGAGATAATATATAATAATATATAGAAGAATTAAATAATAAAATTAAATATAGAGTATAAGCTTTGATTAATAATAATGAAAAAGAATCCATTACTATATGCTCTTAGTTTATTTAGAGAGAATTCTAACCTATAGAAAAAAACTAAGGTAGAATTAATATGAAAGCTTTCCCGAATTTGAAAAAGATGTAAAATTTTTCTATTAGTTTTTGATAGAACATGGGCCAAATACAGTAAATAGACATACTTATTTTCTTGATTTTCTTTAAAAAATGATAAATGAAGGGGCTTCTTATTTCATTTAAAATCTTTAAACCTAAATTCATAATGAAAAAGTAAAACTTTATATATATTTTTTTTGCTAAAAAAATAACAATAAATAGAATTTTTGTAGTGAAAATTCAAAGAAAAATGAAATTGAAATTTAATAATTAAAAAGTTAAATAACCGAAGAAAGAGAAGGATTTTAGAAAGAAATGGAAAAAATAAATAAAGAAAAGGAACAAATATTAATCTAAAAACAATTCAACGAGAAATCTTTGAAATAAATCGAAGAATAGAAAGATTAAATAGAAAAAGAATACAAAGAATAAATGGAATTAAGTAAACAAGAACTTCTTTAATAAATAAACAAATTGAAAAATACACTTAAATAAACTGAAGAAACTCAAAAAAAGACGGAAAGAGAACTTCTTTTAAAAGAAAGTTAGTTTTTGAAGGAAAAGGCTCTTTTGGAACATAAAGCTTAACATTTCGAATAAATGTGTTAGGATCAAGTTCATAAAGAAAATCAAACTGAAAATAATATGTAGTCGAAAATTAATGAATATGAATAAAAAATGAAAGAAAATAATCAAAAATAGGAAAAAACAATGAAAGAATTTACAAACAAAATTAATCTTTTAAAAGAATAAAATAACGAATTAAGTGAAAAAAATAACTACTTATAATAATAATATTCTGATATATAAGAAAATCTAAATTCAAAGGAGAGTTATTTAAAAAAAACAAACGAAGATTTACAAAACGAAGTTCATTTATTGAAAAAATAAATTTCTGAACTTTCTAATTCTGGACTTAGAAACATAGGCGATTTAAAATAATAATATGAAGATGAAGTTTAAAATTTAAAAGAATAAAATATATAATTAAATGAAGAATTAAACAAAATCTAGGTCAAATTAAAATAAGATTTATCCGCTTTTAAATAAAAAGAAGCCTTATTGGAACAATAGAAAGAATTTTTAAAAGCAGAAATTGAAGAAATAAAGAACCAAATGACAGAAATGAAAAAATCCCATGAAGCAACTTTAAATGCACTCGAAATGGGATAAATGGATAATTCTTGTAATGTATAAAATTCATAATATTTGAATTTAAAAGAACAGCATTCTAAATAAATAAAAGCTTTAGAAAATGAATTTAATTATTAAAAAAAGAATCTTTAGAGTTAAATTGAAAATTTAAATAAAGAATTCGGAGATTTAGAAATTAAATATAAATAAATGAATCATGATTTCGAGTAATAAATTTTTAGTTTAAATGAAGAAATAAGTCAATTAGGAAGTATTCTAGATGAAAAAGAAAAAAGAAATTCTGAATTGGAAGATATACTTAAGTTTAATGAAAAAGAAAGTGAAAAAAAATTATTAGATAAAATTAGAGTTTTGGAAGATAATATAGAAACTATTAAAGATAAAAGCTAAATTGAATTAAAGGAAAACTAAGCCAAATCTGAAGAAATTCTTTAACATTTAAAAAATATGTTCGAAGTAGAAAGAGAAACATTAGAAAAAAGAATTCTTGAGGAAAAGTAATAAATATTAAAAATAAATATATATATATATATATATATATATATATATATATTTATTTATTTATATATTTATTTATATTTTTATAGAGAAAAAAGAGAAAAAAATTATAATACTCTTATTGAAGAATATGAATAAAAACTTAGAGATGAATAATAATAATATGAAGAAGAAATAGAAAATTAAAGAGTAATTAATTTTATTTTTAACAAAATATATATTTATTTTAATATTAAAAAATAAAAAATATAGGAAGATATAAGAGAATTAGAAAAAGAATTAATAAATTTATAAGGATAATATGATCATGAAATGGAACTTAACTAAAAAACAATAGAAAATCTAGAAATTTAACTCTAAGAGACAAAATAACAATTAAAAACAACCTAAATATAATACTAATAATAATTAGAATAATAATTAAATACTTTTAATACTGAAAGAAAAGACTTAGAGATTAAATATGAAAATATATAAAAGTAATTCTAATAAATATAAAATCAATTATTGAGTATAACTTAGAAATACGAAAATATGGAAAATAATTATGAAAATAAAAAGAAGGAATTTAATGTTTTAAAATAAGAATATTCATAAGAAAAAAGCCTTTTAGAGGAGAAAAATGAAGAATTAAGAAAAAAATATTAGGAAGTTTCCGACGAGTTTTTATAAAATAAAATAAACTTTGAAAAAAATATTGCTTTATCAGGTTAAAAGAACGACTTTTTCTAAAAAAAAGTATAAGAATTAGAATAATAATTGGAATAAAGTTAATTAAAATTTGATGAAAAAATAAACGCTTTCAAAGTGGCTTTGTAACAAGAAACAGCCGAAAAAATACATTAATTATAGGAAGAAAAGAGCATAATAGAAAATAAAATAATTACATTGAAAAAAAATTCAAAGGAAAATGAATAATAAGCCCAAAAACAAATTACTGAATTAGAAAAAGAAAATGCCATATCAATTGAAAAAATTTAAACTTTAGAAATAAAAATAAAATCGGCCGAAGAAAAATTCATCTTCGAAAATGAACACTTGAAGGATTAATTAAATAAAATAAAAGAACTTCTATAAAACGAGAAAAAAACACTTCTAATAGAAATAGAAAAACTTAAAGCCATCAATTAAGCCTTAGACAACGAAAAACATGAACTTCATACAAATTTCGAAAGAGAAAAAGTACTTTGGGATGGCAAATTTAATTATTTATAATAATAAAAAGAATAGTCTAAACTAGACTTAATTGAAGCTTAAAAGAAATTTGAATAAACTTTATGTCATTTATAAAAATAAAGACAACATGAAAAAGCTGAAAGAGAATAAAGTGCTTCTGATATGATTGCATAAATCGAAAGTAAATATTAAAATAGTATTTAAGAATTAAATGAAAACTTCAATTAAAAAATATAAACTGCTAATCTTAAAATTACAAAATTAGAAAGTGAACTAAAAAACAGTGTCGATTAGGGTTTGATTGAGTAAAGATAGAAAAATTCGGCTGCAGTATATGCGGAAAAAAGGTTAAATGAATTAATTGAAAATGAAAAAAAATATATACTTACTATTGAAGTTTTGAGGGCTGAAAGGGAAAGTGAAAAATAAGATTTCTAAAAAAAAATTGATTCTGAAAAAGAAAATTTCAAAAATAAAAATAATTTGTTGGATGAAAAGGTATTTTTTATTTTATTTTATTTAATTTTATCTCTTTTTTTAGTATCGAGAGGCTGAAAAAAAAAGAAATTAATTAATTTTTGAATAAGAAAAAGAAAGGGCTAAATGGAATCAAGAAAAAGATTATCTAATAAATTAAAAAAATGAAATTTAAGAAGCCCTTAATATTATTGAAAAAAAGAAAGAAATTCTTTTAAGAGAAAATGAAAGGCTTAAAAACGAAACTAGATAATAAAAAAGGTTTAAAATTAATTTTTAAATAAAAATAAATATATAATATATTTTTGTAAATAGAAATAATACAAACTAAAATGCAACCAGCTTTATTAATATTAATAGAAATGTTTATACTGAAACTAAAAGTCCTATGAGAAGTGTCGGAAAAAGCAAAGAAAGGTCAAATACAAATGATTTTAGTTATGGAAACAATAGTATTGATACTGGTGAAGATAATAACAACAATGAATAATATGGATAGCCCATTTTAAATAGTGGAATTCTTGAAAATATAATTCTTAATACTTCTAATAATATGAATGCAACATATAGTTAAAATAATAATTAAAAAGGATTCAAATCTTTCACGGAAGTCTTATAAGAAAAAGGTTGTAGTACAACAAATATTAATAACGAGAATTAATCTCCTATAGGATAAGTTAAAGACCAGACTAAAAATTGATTTAAAATTAATTGATTATAAAAATTTATTTTTAAATCAAAATAATTGAAAAAAAAAAAAAAAATTAAAATTAAAATATATATATATATATATTGTTTCAAAAAAACATAACATTTGTTTGTTTATCTTTTTATTATTATTTTTATCTTATAAATTTAAATAGAAAATAGTAAAAATATTTATAATTACACAAAGATAAATACGTATTTTTTTTTTTTTTTTAATTATTATTAAATGTTATTTTTTTCTTAAAAAAAGCCATTTTTTTTTGTAGAATCGAAAAAAAAAAAAAAATTTTTTTTTTTTTTTATTAAAAATCAAAATATTTTCAAATTATACTTTATTCACCAAATTTACTTTCAATAATTTCTAATACAATCTAAAAAAAAAAAAAAATATATTAATTAATTATTTTATATATATAAATAAAAAAAATACTATATCTTAAGTATCTATATAAGAAAAACTTTCTAGCCTTAATCTCTTTTCATTTTAAAGAATTTAAATATTCTTATTATAATTAGAATTTGTATTTATATTTAACTTTTCTTTTATTAATTTAAGTTTTTTAATCACTTTTTACATTCTTTAGTTTCTATTCCTTTCTAGTCTAATTTCGATTTCAATCGGATTAACCTTTTCTTCTTTTCTGAATTTGTTCTTATTAAAATATTATATATTTTTTTTGTTTTAAACAAAAAATATACTTTGCACATATTCCGAGTTCTATTATCAAAAATATTCTAAATTAAAGAAAAATCAGTTCCAAATAATTCCAAACCTTTAAAAAATTTAAGACTTTCTTCCTAAGTCCATTTTTTTGTATGTGTTTATTTTTTAAAATATCTATTTTTTTTTATTTTTTAAGTCTTTTCTTATTTTATTTAATCACAATATTCTTTTAATTATTCATTTGTATCTTCATTTGTACTTATTTGTGTTTTTGAATCAAAATTACTTTATTATTCTAGTTCATTATTAGTTTAATACAATGTTTAGTTGCTAATTTAAGTAGATTCACTTTTGCTTAGATCAAATTAACTTTCGTTTGAACTAAAATTGGAATTTTCTTAATATATTTTTGGGTTTTTAGCTAGTTATTTTTTATCAAATTTATTTTGTTTTTTGCATTCTTTTTATTTTTTCATTTATTTTTTGTTTTATATTAAATTAACTAAGTTTATTGATTTTTTATGTTTTTATTTAATTTGTTTAGTTGGGTTTAAATAAAATTTGTTTAAATCTTAGTTATATTTGTTGGTTAATTATTATTTTAAATATTTTTTTTTGAAATTTTTTTGTTTATTTATGCTTTCTTTGTTATACTATTTTTCAAAAAAAAAAAAAAATTATCTTTGATTATTTTTATTTTTGTTTTAAGATAATTTTATATTTTTGATTTTTTTATTATTATTATCTTTTTGTAATTTTATGTCTAAATTGAACAAAACAAAAAAATATTAAAATTTTAAATGTAAATTTCAAATAAATTATATTTTACCAAAATTAATTTTTTAAGTCAATAAAGATTTTATTAATAATATATAAAAATAAATTTAAAATAAGTATTTTTTACAATATTAAAAAAAATAAAAAAATTAAAAGATAATTTTAATTAAAGAAAAATATTTATATATAAAAATAATTTTTAATTAAATATTATATTTTTATATCATTTCATAGATATTTATTTTATTTATTTATATTTTTCTTAAAAAAATAATTTATTATTGTTTGAATAATATAATTTAAAATCTTCCTCTGAAAAAAAATTATATAGCAATTTCTAAATATATAAATAAAATTTTTAGATATAAAATCTTTTTAATTTAAACATATAAAGATAAGTAAATAATAATCAATAAATTATTTAGATAAAATTATAAGAACATATACATTAATTTATAATATAAAAATTATAACTAAAAAAAAAAATATTGATATTTTAAATTATTCGAATCTTTTAAAATATTTATAATATTTTTGGTGATTTTGCAATTAAATCTTATATTTTTTATTTTTTTTGTATCATTGTTAATTAATTATAATTAAATAAAAGAAAAAAATATTATGATATTTTTTTGATGACAAAAATAAAATAAAATATTTTGATATTTGTAAAGTTACAATAAAAAATATTAATATACATATAATTTATTTTAAATAAAATATAACATAATAAATATTAATTTAGTATTTTTTAAAAAATAATTAAATATTATATATAAAATAATTTATATTATTATATTTAATTATATAAATTTAGAAAAATAAAAAATCATATAAATAAATATATTATTAATTTTTTTCTTTTTTTAAATTTGAATAATGCGCTACTTTTATAAAAATGCGTATTTATAAATATAAATAAATAAATAAAAGTATTAATTAAATAGTTGACACTATTTTTAATAATTTTTAAAAATAATATTTTTTATTTTTTTTATTTATTTTTTTATTTATATCACATATTTTACAGATTTTTATTTAAAAATATCCATTTATAATAAATATATATGTAATTTATTATTATTATTATTTTATTATGATTTTAGAATATTTAATTTGTAAACCTTAATTTACATCTATTATATTAAATATCTATTATTAATAATAATTTGATTTTTGAAATTACATTTATTATATTAATTTTTTTAAAAATGAATGAATATATATTATAAAAAAAAAAAGTTAAGCTTAATAATTTATATAACATTTAAAAATAATATATATTTTTTAAATTGATTTTTTACTTTTATTGGTGAGGGACTTCATTTAATTCCTAATACTAATACTAAATGAATCTAGAATTTCTTTTTTTAAAAAAAACCAAAACGTGTTTTAATAATAAAACAAAGTTAGAAAAAAAAAAAAATACAAAACTTTTTTTTTCATTGTTGTTGATTTATTATATAATTTAAAATATTAAATAAAAAAATAAAATAAATTAAAAAATGAAATAAAACATTGTTCAATAATGTTAAACTTGTAATAAAGTATTCTCTAAAAAAAATAAATTAAATAGACATGTAAAAGAGTCTCATTAACCTACTGCAAGCTTTACATGTATAATATGTTCTAAAGGTTTCAAAAGAAGCTCACATTTAAAAAGACATATGGTTTCTCATTCAAGTGATCCTAAACCTTTCAAATGTGATTAATGTGTAATGTAATTTTCCTGTAAGCATCATTTAATGAGACATTAGAAAGCTCTACATCCAATTGAATTATAATTTGAATGTAACTTTTGTTTTTTAAAATTTAAAGGTATAAGTTGCCTAAATAAGCATTTAACGTTTGCTCATAATTTAAATAAGCCTAACAAATGTTAAGAATGTGGAAAAGGATTTTTAAAAAAAGGATAATTAATAAGACATATTAATATTAATCATATTAATTCTTAAAAAATTTAAAGTTATAAATCTGATGAAGATAATTTCTCTTTAATTTATTAATTTACTTAGGAATCTAACTTTTAAATTTCTACTTATAAAGATCTAAGTTATAGTGGGTATAATTAAATCGAAGAAAATGATTATGATGAAAATTGCTTTATTAATAAAAATAAAGAAATTAATATTAATTAATTGATTAATAGTTAACTTTAGGATTCTTAATAAAAAATAAATTGCGAATATTTCTCTTATTCTTAAGTTGCGCATGAAAAGTATAACCTAAATTATTCAAATTAATTTATTGGCGATGATTTAGATAAAAATAAAAATGAATATTATAATATTATGGGAGAAAATACAGAAAAAGTAATAATTCTTAATTTTTTTTTTATATTAAAAAAAAAAAGTATTAATTTTTTTTTATATATATAATTTATAGAAATACGATAATTTATTTATAAATTAACTTTTTGATAATTATTAAATATAAAATACAAATAATTTATTTCAAGATATATTTATGATTAATAAATGAAATATGTAAATAATATTTAAAAGGTTAAAATTAAATAAGTGTATGAAAAAATGATAAAAAATAATAATATTGAGAAAAGTAAAAATTTGCTATTTTTAATATTATTAAAAATAAATAATATTTTTAATATATTATATATATGTATTGTCTAAAAAACCTCAAGTTTCATTTGTGTGTCGCCATATAATATATATATATATATATAATAAATACATAATAATATATGTATCTTTCTTTATTGAAAATGAATATTATTTGTATTTATATGGGGAATAATAATAAATCTAATAATAATAACAAACACAATTTTATAGATAACTATTAATAAGAAAAAATCAAAATATATTAATAAAACTTAATAAGAATAATAATTAATAATTAATAATATAATAATAACTAATAATAGAAGTTAAAAAAAAAAAAATTAAATACAAAAAATAATAATAAAAATAACTATTTAAATATAACACAAATTTAGATAAAATAATAAAATAAAACAAAATAAATAATAACAAATGCAAAAGCAAAAAATAATAACAAAAAATTAAAATTTAATAATAATAATCAATCCACTTAAGTAAAATGAATAATATTAACTTTAATTGGTAAAATAATAATTAATAATAACAGCTTAGTATAATGATCATTTTTATTATAAAATAGCTTTATATTTTATAGTTTTATAAAAGATGTATTTAACAGTCTTTAATATAATAAAAACAATATAAAAGATCTAATTTTGATTTTTTAAATTTATTTAAATGAATTTCAGTTTGAAATTTAATTTATATATATAAGTAAAAAAATAAACATAAATATTTATTATTTATTCATTTTTATGTTATTGAATATTGTTTAAATTTTTATATTGCTTATTCTATTTTTTATTTTTTTTAATTTATAAAAATTAATATATTTAAAAATAAAATTACTATTTTTATCTATTTCTTAAATAATGTTAAATTCTCCGTTTTTTTTAGAAACTATTAAACTTCTTATATTATCATCTTTGTTTAAAATTAATTTTTTATTAATAATTATTGTTTTTTTACAAATATGAAAAGACAATGATGTTATACAATTTTAATCTTATTATTATTTTTTGAGATTTATATTTTAATTTTATACAATTTTAGCTTTAACTTCAAAAAAGTCAAAATAATAAATAGATCCAAGGCATGTTCCAATATACTTTTTTATATAATTAAAATAATAAAATTAAATAAAATATAATTTTATTTTAATTTACAATATAACTACAAATATTAGATAAAAATGTAATACCAGTAATATTTTCATTTACTTCTAAAAATATTTAAGAAAGGTTTATTTCAAGAAATTTATTCCCATTCAATCTATTTATTTAAAAATAAAATAAAATATACTTTAATGTAATTTTGACAAATTTACGTAAATATAATTAATCTTTTTAAACAAGTAACTATTAAAATATATCCCATTTCATGTATTTCTAAAAATTATATAAATTCATTATCTTGAAGTTCCTAAATTTTAAAATAATTTAAAAATTTCTAATTCATAAGTTAATGAATAAGTCCAAATCCTATATTATTAAAAAATAAATAAAATACCGTATAAAATATATGTTTTAAACCATCTAAATCTATAGAAACTATTATTTAAAGAGATTTATTTATTTTCACAGCTGTTACTTCATTATGATGTCCATAAAGCATTTTAGTTGAATTTAATTCTAATTCAGGTCCCAGAATATTATTTTTCTTTATTTCTATTGTAGAAATAGAAACTCTACAATCTTTTGAACCACAAACTAAGAAATCTTAACAAATATCTATACAATGAACTTTATTATAATTTTTAAAATTCTAATAAAATAAGTATTAAAATTTTACTTATTTTTTTATGTTAGGTTTGATATTTTTTTTCAAATTTTTAATCTTTTATTGATTTAATATATATAGACACATCTCCTTAATTTATATAGAGTATAAATTAATCATATATTTTAATTGTTTTTTTTAAATTAAGTTCTGGAGCCTTATTTTTTTTTAAAAAAAATAAATAAATTAATAATACTTTTTTTATTTAAATTAAAGCTCTTTTTTTAGTAAAATCTTTGTCAAAAATACATGATTTACATTTAAATATTCTTATTGAAGATTTTCCATTTTAAGTTTCTATAAATCCGAAATCTTTTTTTTTTAAAAAAAGTCAATAATATCTTATTCTTTTATATTATAAAATTTATTAATTTTGGTTTTTTATTTTTACATTTATCAGTTAATATTACATCATCTAAACTAAATTCACATTTTAAAGATTCATATTTGATATCCAGTTTTGAATAAAATTCGAATTCGGTAATTTTAGGCCAATTGTAATTTTCATCTTTTGGCTTTTAATCTTCATCAAATAATTTATAAGGAACTTATCCAAAAAATTAAATTTTTGCTTTTTCAGCTAAAATAAATGATTCATTCATTCCATCTAAATTTAAATTTTAATCATAAGAAGAAGGATGAAAAACATTCTTTTTTTATTATAATTAAATACATAAAAATGATTTTTATTACTTCAAATTATATAGATTTTTATCCACTTTATTTACTTCCGAAAATAAGGTCAATCCAATAATGCAAATTTAAAGAAACATAGGGCGATTCTAAAGCTTATCTCATTCTAAATATAAATTCCTATTAAAAGTATATATATAAATAAATATATATATATATATATTTATTTATTTATTTATTTATTTATTTATGTATATATATTTATATTTATATTTTTTTTTATTTTTAATAAATTACTTCAGGAGTATTAGTTGATTTTTAAATCCATTCTGGTAAAATAACTTAATCTACCTAAGTATTATCTTATTTTTTTCCCAAAAAAAGGTCATTTCTAAAAATTAATAATTAAAATAAAAATACCAATAAATAATTATTTTTTTAGTTATACATATTATATAAAAAATCAGGTAAATAATAAAATTCTGGTAAAAGTTCTTTAACATCTGCAGAATTATTTTAACATGAATCCCATAATTCCTATATAGAATGAAAAAGCCTATCAGCTTTATCAAACTATAAATTATTTATTAATTTTTTTTTTTTATAAAATATACTTTATTAGCCTATTATTTAAAATGAAGTCCAGCAAAAGGTTCCATCCTCATTAATAAAGTCAATACAATAGTAGGATTAGAATAATGAGTACCATACTATATATTTTTAAAAATAATTATTAACATAATTTATTTTTAATAAAACCATAAAATAAGTTTCTTTATCAAAAGGGGTCGAATTTTTAAATCTTTATAAATAATGATTTACAAATCTTTCTCTATTTATAGCTCCGATAGGAATATTTAATTTTCTATAAAAGTTTTCATTTTCCAAATCTAATTATTCCTAAAAAAAAATAGTTTTGTATTTTTTTTTAAAACAAAAATTTTATATTTATTTATATACTGATTTATAATTTGACAAAACCCAAGGAAATACTGGGTATTAACCTAAATCATTAAAAGATCTTCCACTATAGGAATTAATTTACATTAAATATTCAAAATTTGAGATTTTTCCTTTTTTCCAATCATCTTTAATATTTGATTTATTAAATTCTTATTTTCTATTTACAATAATGTTAATTTAGTTATTTATCTTTTTTTTAAAAAAAAAATAAAGATAAATAATATAAATAAAAATTACTTTTTTTAATTAATTAAATAATTCTATTCTGGTTTATGATTTGTAAATATTAAAAAAATAAACCTTATTATCTTCTGTAAATATTTCAAAAGCAACTTCTTAAAATAAATATCTCCTTGACATAATTTTTTTTATGTTATTAAAGTTTATAAGTTTTTATTTAAATTCCTATATGTATTCATTTTCAACTCCTTTCCATTAATAGTCGCTTTGTTCTTTCAATTATTTTGTCTCAAATATAAAAAAACTGTTCTATTATTATTATACTATTGTTATTTGTCCAAATATAACACCTGTTTATGTAATTTATTCTGCATGTTATTTAAAATAAGTATTATATTTAAATTCTTTAAGCTAATTTTTCTTAAACTATATATCATATTATATTTGCTTGCTTGATTAAATTTATTTTTGCTAAACCTATTAGTTTTTATTATAATAGTTTGAATTTGTTTCTAAATCGCTTTCCTGCGATTATATATCTTTTTAAGATTCATTTATTTATTCATCCTTTTTTTTATTTTAGTTTAATTTTTTTATAAAAAATAAACAAATATATTACTTTTTTTATTTATAATTCACTTAAACTTTTTTTAATTTTCTTTTATTTTTAAAGATTTTCATTATTATTATATAAACTTTTCTAATATTTAGGTTCTACAAAAAACTATTTTTCAAACCATTTTTTATCTTTTTTTAAAAAATATTTCCTTCTATATAAATCTTCAACCTTAAAAAATAAAAAAAATAAAAAAAGTAAAAAAAATATAATGTAACTTTATTTATTTTCCATTTATTTTATTCATTTTATTATTTAAACCATATTCCTCTTTCACTAGTTAATCTTTTTTCTTTATTAATGAAAATTAAATATTTAATTTATTGCTATTAAAAAAATACTTATGTTCTTCCAAATCGTTTAAGCTGAAAATTTTTATTAATTATCAAATTAGTCTTTTTTAATAAATTCATTTTTACAAATATTCTTTTGTGATTCAAAGTTAGCTAAACTAACATTTTCCTTAACATTAAAGTATGGATCTAGGCTTTAATTCATAAGGTTGCTTTTTTATTATAAATATTATTCTTTTTTGAGTTAATAGTATATTTAATCAATTTCTTAAACAAATTGAACAGAATTTGATATATAATAATTAATAATCTATACGACATATTATAAAATATTATTTTATTAAGAATACAATAATTCTACGGTTTATGTATAATTTTTATCTTCGATATTTTTTAACTAAAAAATAATTAAATATATGTATTAATATTTTTGTTAAAAATAATAAATACATAGTTAATTTCATTAATAAATTCATTTAATTCATCTTCAATACTAATATCAATAGAATATTTTTATTTTCTTTCTTAAAGTGTTTATACGAATTAATAAATATTTTCACTTATTGTTTTTTAATAATTATAATTAAAATATTAATTCTTTTGAAAATATAAGCATTTCCATTTTTCTATCATTTCATTTTAAAAACAAACTAAAATTGTTTTAAAAATAAATTACTAAATCAATTAATAATTTTTGCATATATAAAATTATTAAAATAAAAAAACGAGAACATAATCTTTAAAATTTTCAATAAAAATATCCTCCTCATGATTTACATCATATTTTATTAAATGTATTTAATTAATTTTCTATGTTTCTTCCCTTCTTATTATATCTCTTGCCAAAAAGCTGTTCAAATTTACTAAATATCTTTATTTAAATTTTTTTTTAAAAAAATAAAAATATTTTAAGATAAAAAAAAAAAAAACCTATATTTTATATTAGGGTTTTCTGATTAGCTAAATCCTTTAAATAAAATATTAATTATAGCTCTTAAAATTCCTCCATTTATTAAAAGTGTATTTTTTTTATCTTATATTATAGATTATAGTTCAAAAAAAAGGATTTCTGTATTTATATTTTATTTTTATTAATAGTTTTAAATTGGGGGATATGAATTTTCTATTATTAATAGATTATTTCCAAAATAATCTATTTAAAAATAAAATAAAACATACTAATTTTCTTTCTTTTTTATATTTTATTATTTTACCTAAATAAACATCAAAAAGTTATTAAAAATTTGATTCGTTTTAATTTATTAACAAAATATTTTCAGAAATAACTTTTTCTAAGAAATAAAAGGCTTGAATTAAATTTTCTTTTTAGAAAATACAAATGTTTTAACTATTTTTTTTCTTTTATTATTAATTTAACTAATTAAATAAGATTAGAATATATTTTTAAAAATAGAAATTTATTTTATCAAAAATTAATTATTCAGCCTTTTTTATATAAAATAACATTTTTAATTTTTTTTTTTATTATTTTTACAATTTATTATCCATTTTCAACATCTAAAATCAAAAAATGAATAATATATTCTAATGTATCCATATTAGCATCATTATATATTTTCTATTATTCTAAATCTTAAAATTTTAAGTTAAATAAAACCAAAGTTATTTAATAAAAATATGGATCAGAAAGAAAATTTTGAATTTATTATTAATCTTAAAGGCTTTAATTATTCTTAATTTAAAAAGAAAAAAAGAATAAATAAAAGAAATAATTAAAAAAATAGTACACTTCTTTCAAATAAAATTGTAAAAACTTTTTTGATATTACAAGCAATCATAATTTTTATTATTATTAACTTAAATAAGAAATTCTCTTATAAAGAATAACCATTAAACGAAATTCAATTAACCAATTTTCTACAATAGATTTATTCAAATATTCAATTAATATACATATAGTTTCTTAATGTAAATGTTTATTAAGAACAGAGTCTATTTATTATAACCAAATAATAAACTATTAAAAATTATTTTTTTTAACAAAATATTCAAACTAAATTTACAAACATAACGAAATTAATTCGTCAAAACCTTTATCTTAATAATAAAAATAGTCTTTTTTTAAAAAATATATATTAAAAGAAAATTGAATAAATAATATTTATATTAATATACTATAGATAAATTATTAAGCATTAAAAATAACACAAAAAAGAATATTTTCGATTTCTTTAATTTTATCTTATCTAATAAGGGTTAAAAAAAAATTAGAAATTTCATTATTATTTATAATTTTATGAAGTATTTTTATTAAATCAAGTTATAATTATCCAGTTTTACAAAAGCAGATATTTTATATTAAAATCTAAAACAATTTAATGTAATAAAACTCTTTATATTCTTCACTATTTTCTTTACTAAAAAAATATGTATAAATATAATTTAAAATATTCAAAAACTAATTTTTAATTTCTTATATCTCATTTGAATCATATTTTATTTTTCCTAAACTATTTATACTTTTTTTTAATATTTTATCATTAAAGTGCATTTACAAGCTTTAAAAGATAGCTACCATTCCATTATTTTCAACTATAAGTTTAATAAAAATATTAGATTATAGTTTTAAAAAATTCATAATGAAATGTAATACCCCTTTTTACACTTTAAAACTACTAGTAGTCCATATTTAGTATACCATAAATATATCTTATAAAGCAGTATACATTATTTAATTTTAAATTTAAGATTTTCTATCTTATTTTGAATCTTCAAAAGGAAAGGATAATTCAATAAAGCTTTTAAAATTTTCGAATAGTTAAATTGTACATGACTTTTTTTTTTTTTTAGTTTTTAATCATTTTATATTTTTATATTATTTTTAAATACATTATTTTGTTTAATAATTTCTATTAAAATTATTTTTAAAATTTAAATTCCTTTTGAATTATTTTCATCAAAAAAAAAGAGAATTTCTTCATCTTTTTAAACTATGTTTCTTATTAATTAGAAAACAAGACTACATATTTAAAGTTTTTATTCTTAATTGAAATCTTCTATCTATAAGACCATATCTAATATAAATCTATTTTTTTAATTTATTAATATAAAATATAGTAATAGAAATACACAAAACAATCTATTCCTCCTAATGATATTATAATCTCAATAAAATCAGACATCTAATATTAAGAAAGTTCACTAATGTGCATTTTATATGCTTGAAAATCTTTCTTTAACTCATCTTTTTTAAGAATATTCATAAAAGCCGTTTAAAGAGAAAAAGATTTTTATTTATTATATGTAAGTTATATAGGGAATTCTAACTATGAATTTTCATCTTAAGTATCTCCTATTATAGTATATTCTTTTTTACTTTAACTGATAGTTAAGTTGATATTATTTTTTTAAAGTATATTTTTTTTCGTATTCAAATTTATTATAATCTTTTTTTTTTTAAAAAAAAAATTAAAATTATTTTAAAAAGAAATTACCAAATCTTTATATTAGGTGTTTATTTCATTGATTGTTTCTTATAAATTAAAATTATTCTTTATTTTTTATATTGGTATACATTCATTTAATATAGAATACTATGTTAAAAATCCTGAAAAAGATTATTATTCATCTACAAAATATTTAGTTTCTTCAAATTTCAAATTAGCTCCTAAACTTAAATAATTTATGCTTTTGAAACATTCAATATATTTTTTATATTTTTTATTTTAATTTCCTATAATCTATATTTTTTATAAACAAATAATAATAAATATAATTTAAAAAATTACATTTTTTTCAATTCCATTTATACTTATTTAAAAACCCTCTAAATCGTTTTTTTCACAATAATTTATTTATATCAAATTCCATTTATTACATTCATGTAATGTTAGACCTTAATATTAAATAATACATTAATTATTTTCTTATTCAATAATCATTTTAATATTAGTATTTACTTAATTCTAATATATTAAAAATAACAAAAAAAATATATATTGTATAAAAAAAACTTCATCTAATTCTAAAAAAAACTTAAATTATTTAAATTCAGATGATACAATAGAAAAAATGCACTAAGAATAATTTTTCTTATTTTAGTTTTCTTCACAATTACGTTAATCACATTGCCTATATGG